AACCTTGATCAATCCCATCCCTTGTCTTTCAATTATTAATAACATTAGCCACATTCACCTCACGTGTACGAAGAGAATGAAAGGGGCCGCTGGGTATGCCGTTATTTTTGTGTAACCAAGTTGTCGGTGATCTCGATGAGACATAATCATAGGTCAAGGTATATGACGGGCCGGATAAATTATCTGATCAGTGGACTACAATGTTTCTCATACATACGTACCATAGCATCAGCTTGCCAAGCGCCCATTAAGTTACTAGTGTCCACATGATTACTGATCAATAGATCAAATCCAGCGGTTCCCATTGAAGCGAAATATGATAGTCGTGCATGTTATCTGTGGATAGCACTAGGACGTCGTAAGCATGTCCTTCGAGTTTCGGCGCTAGTACTAGTACAGATAGCCGTTATCCCCCGCGGTAGAATCACTGAATAGAACAACATTGTTAATCTGGCTGAATATTTTGTCAGGGAAAATACCTTTTGCATACGAAGGGGACTCTTTTCTGCCGGATCTTACTAGTAATGTGGATTCTGGAGGACAAATATACTTATTCAGTGGTTCATTGTATTACCTGTCGACTCACGTACTAAAGTGTAGATCCACGGAGGTTGTATTCTGCCTCTCAAAATATGCATCATAAAGCAGGTCCGAATATCGTCCTTCTATTTGGTCTCCCGACGGGAAAACACAACGGCGGATTGCGGCCCTGCAATGAGCTCAGTTGGACCGGTCGCATTGACGGTGAACTGATATGTACTAGTAAATCTGATTTTCATAACCGGACTTCCCCGAACGGCGAGATGCCATGAACGATGATGCATAATGCTGGATGAACTTAGGATGAACGCCGACAAAACCTTGATCCATCGGGTTCCAGATAAGACCCATAGGCCCAACAATCAGCATGATGTGGTCACTTTCTCGCGCGGGATTTATATAACGGAAATGTTGGTACTTACATTTAAGTTACAGGCGCCTTGTGTGCCGTAACTTAGAGATATGACAGAGTGCCAAAAATCTGGAACAAATGGATCGTTCCATTTTGTCAGCCACTCACGGAGATTTATTGAGTTGACAACCAGCATCTCAGTCAGCCTTCTTGAATCACATCTCCAAATGGGCAGTCACCATGCAGCGCAACTGCGTCAATAACACTTCTATCAGCACGTTCTGGCACTGCTTTAGCGGCCCCTCCAGAGTACAGCATCGAAGGTTGGGGCTTTTCACTTGCCCACATGCATAAGCAGCCGGACTGACTGATGGAACAGGCTGTATATAGCAGCATCACATGGGAATCATGGGAGTTCCTGCCATATGCTGAAGCGCCACTTCAAAACCTATCAAAGCATAATAGTCTGATACCGGGAATCGAAGCGAAACATAGAAAAAGCAGTTAATTTAACCATATAAAATTTCAGGGCAATGGAATATGATTGCAAGAGTGCCAGTTATACGGCGTGGTGTTACCACGGGGATCCTCGCAGGCTTGGTCCTCCAGATAACGACTCGCCGTTTGTAAGCTATTGAAAGAAAGTGAGTCTAGAGGAAGAAGGAAAAGATGATGTACAATACCACAGCGTTGATCTGCTTATGAATCAAACACAAAACTATGTGGCCAATCAGCAAGGACGACAAGCAGCTCGTAAATGAAACCTACAGTCTAGATATGACATAGCAGCGTTATTCTGGTCTTCGACAAGCATATCACTAAACTCAATTTCCGTCCCATCCATATTTTGGCGGACAAGGAGCATTTTCGGAGTGCGACCTCGCTGAACGTAGCGATGTGTAAGTATATTCCTAACCTGTGTAGACAATCGAGTGTGAAGAACAGGGAGCTGGATCTGTAATGACGAAGATCAAAGACAGGTTATCTTAGTCAACCCGGGCACTAACGGTATTCGGATCCAGAGTCTGGAGGTCGTCCACACCAAAAAGGTCAAGAAGTAATTGCGGGGACACACTGGAACCGACCCAAAATATCATGAGATCTTCGTTATCTGATGGAAGGACGTAGGTAAAGAGGTTGTACCGAAAGAAGTGCGGCACAAACCTATCAGATAGACGCCGTGTGCTTCCATGTAGGTGTGGCTATTTCGCATCAGTGACGGAAAGGACATCTGACCTGTTGTGGGGTCTGGAAGCGCTGTGTCGTCTGCCAAGTCGTGGAGCGCAAGAAGGCGGGGATAGAGATGCTGCATTGTTGCGCGTACGCTCATAGATAGTATCTTCTGAGCATGATAGTTGCGCACGTCCGCGGACACATTACGACCTGCGAAAGCATGTCGATCGGTGAAGCAAGAAATGGCAACATAACAATAGCACACCTTTAAGAGGTTTGCACTTCGTGATCGCTAGGGTGTACACAGGCAGAGCTCGAAATGCTTCAGGTATAATTAGCTACGAAGTTTGTCAATGAAAGGGGCGGAGATGATATCTGGAAAACTCACCTGAGAGACAGCGGTAGCAGCCGCACAATTTCGCCTATAGCCGATCAATATTGATGAGCATCTATCAGTCAGCTCTTCTCGAATGTGAGCCATTCGGCGTGACGTCAGTTTTGACATCGCTGGAATGAATGTGAGGAAAATTGAATGTGGCAAAGAGAAGGTAAAGTCGGACATTCCCTTGCTAACTGACACACTACGGCATCCATATCAGCATACCTAAAAACGTTGGCGGCCAGGTCTGCCACTTGCAAGGCAAGATTACATGTTCGGACACGGCGTTGACCGTCTGGTGTTGTATGGAGCACAGCACACTGCAAGAATGCATACTCTCGAGCATCCAACTTCCGTGAGTGCTCGATATGCACGGATATGGCTTTATCGGAGTCGAGAATTCCAATGTCCAAGTCCGATACAGAACGCTCATGGAAATTGCCATAATAATTTGATATTCGAAGGCCTGCAACAACATGCTCCTTAATGAGTTCTTCGGAGAAGATATTCATCGATAAACACTTACCATTGGAACATCGCACACGCAATAAGCAATTATACACTGTCGTCCGAGTTAGTAAACGCCGCAGTTGAGAAGTCAAAACGTGTTGATCTCGTGCAGGATTAAACCTAGGATGGAAAAACAGTTCGCCGCCAGTGGTAGAAGATACAATACCTGTGCAGCTGCTTAGCAATGAGGGCACTGGCAGTAGGAAAAAGAACGACGCGCCAATAGATCCAATATCGATAGGTTTGCTCATCCCAAGGAACATACTGACACCAATACCCTCCTCTGAGCACTCCTCAGCAATGTCTCTCCATGTTTGATGACGAGGGAGGAACATAGTTCGCTCTTTCTCCGTGCCATATAATGACGCCTGATCATGTGGTGGTTCAAGAGCACCGGGTCCAATTGCAGGTAAGACACTCTGGAAAACAATGATATGGCCCCCTCGGCCTGCCTGCACGAACATGCTCAAGCCTAAATCACGTGATTAGTAGCTGGGACGTACGAGCGAAGCTAGCCCAGCAAGTAGCGCTCCCCCAAGCGCTGCATTATCAATGACGGTATTTAGATAGCGTTCTGGTAATGCCTTAAGTAGACCTTCGATGGCGATCCTGAAAATGGAATGAGAGTGACTTGAGAGTTAAGGTAGCGAACGTTCCTGACCTGGATTTCCAAGGATCTACAAACAAGCCCTCACGCAAAGGTATAAAGACTTCTTCTAAATCGGAAACCACAATCATGCTTGCCAATGATGAGGCTGGCTAGAATTTGTCTATATCAACTTGATGCAATGATGCGAGTTGTACGCTTACAGACAGATCATAGAAGTGCAAAGAAGTGTCATATGTCAGAATCGCAAGCTGAGAACCTTCGGGGAAGGACGGCTCTAACTGAGTCCCATCAAGGGAGGTACCACCGTATAGCAAATCTCGTAGGACGTCGCAGGCAGACTTAAGAAAGCCCGTTCGTATGGCTTCCAGTGAGACGTCAAACGCAAAAAGACAGTTCAGAGATCTGGGCTCGCGTGCTTGAGAGGAAGGAGGGTCGATAGAGAAATATGATGAATTCATCCTCGGCAGAGGCGGAGGTGCCCAGTATTCTTTTCCTGAGACCACGAAGTCAACAGTTCCCTTGTTCAATTCAGGGCGGTTTGGAAGATCTATTCGTGTAATATTTGCGTCCAAATTGCAAAAATAATCCGGCAATACTGGAAACCAAGACTGAGATGCCAGTCAGTCACTTTGAAAGTTACACCATGTCATACCTTGAGTTTCGTGACCGCAAAGATTACATTTCCATCTCCATCCACCGGCAGTCCATGCACACCAAGGATTAATGTACCCTCTACACTCCTCGCACCGAGGGGGACCTGAATCACCGCAGTCCACGACTGGGATAGACTCTTCGCGGGAATCAAGATCTGCGAATGGCTGAAACACTGCCGCAAGGGGAATATCGCACTCTTTTGCCAGATGAGAGGAGCTTGGAAAGTTCCACGTTGATACTCTAACGTGTTTTGGGCTCGAGTTTCCTGTAATAGAAGATTTGGTCAATGACCTCGGAGCAAGACTCGAAGCCGAGGTGATAAATTGCCAACGTCTGCAGTGAGACCAGCATGATATACAATTGCGTGAAAAGGTGTTGTCTACGTCCCACCACACATAGCACCTAGCCCGAGTCTTACATTCCTGCGAGGAAATAAGGCTTACCTTGGTCAAGCGCTGTGAAGTCGGATGTTGATAACGGTGGATTGTTCCCGGGTAACGTCATGAATAAGTTTCCTTCCCATTTCTCCCTGTCCGATTCTATCACGTCAATCGGAGATGGCATCTGACTTGGGTCGATCCGAGGTCGCAACCCTGTGGAAGTACATGTCAGCTAGAGATCACAGAGTGAAGAGGCTGCTGACGTTCCTTTGTAAGGTTCCCCAGCACTGTGCGGCGGTTGTGGTATGTGTCTGTTTGCATGCATGTAGGCTATTGGAACTACACACTGGTAAGTATAATCGTTGGCTTAGGGCCGTTGTTGGAAACTGTTGTTTGGCAAAGGCTTTAGATCTAAACAGACCAATTTGGGCTGCAACGCTTCAAGCGATTCATTCACATTGCAGGCATGACCACTCCGCAAGTTACCTCCATTCTACCCATCACAGATGCGCAACTACCACAATCTTCATCTGCTACACTCATTGAGGATATAACATCAAACAGCGCTTCCATTTATTCTAAATCTCGTACACGGTCCTCTCCATCGACTGCCACTTCGAATAGTACCCAAAATACTGAACAGCTCACGCCTATAGCAATGGGGCCGATGTCTAGTTCCATACATAATGGCGCAAATTTGATCTTAGATCTTATTAGGACCGAAAGACAACAGGCTTTCGAGGTCGGCCAGCGACAGATGGCACATATTCAGCAGCAACATAACGAGCATCGCATGTCATATTCGAAAGTGGTTCTGGAAGAATCAACCAAGCGGCGTGAGGCTGAGGACATGGTTGCGTACCTCTCAACCGAACTGGCCAGATATACAAAGGAGGCCACTGAAGTACAGAATATCGCTTTGCAAGCTAGAGCAGACGCAACTGCGGCGCAGAACACCACTTCTGAAGCTGAAAGAGCAGCAGAGGAAGCTCGCAGCTACCTCATGGCGGTTCACGATGCGCTTCAGCAAGTCGGCATTACTGTTAGTCGAGATGACTCTGTAACATCTAACACGCCGAAGATAATCTTGGGCACGCCATGGCTAGAACTCATCCCATCCCAAATCCATAGCTCAGATACGCCACTCCCCAATTCCTCCAGTGCCCCAGGCGATAAGCCAAGTTCTTCCCCTCCCCCTACCCAGCACCTCGGCTCGCCATCAAAATATATCTCTTTTATCAAAGAACACATCCATCACCTCGGCGATACTTTGGCTGCCGCCCAAAACAACTGCAAAGATCTTGAATCCCAACGCAATCAGCTCCAGAGCGACCTCAGTACGCTTGGCCACGATCGAAACGAGCTTGAAAGCTTAAAGAAGGAAACGGAAGACAACGCGAAGATGCTCGGCCAGTGGAAATCCAGAGTCACAAAACTGGAAAATGAGATACAATGGTTGAAATTAGAGCGAGATGACGCGGTCAAGGCCAAAGCGGAGGCTGCCACTGCCCTCGAAGAGATGAGGAGAACCTCGACAGTTAGTGAAGAGACTCTCAAATCGTGTGTTTGCCTCCTGTTCCCCACTTGATTCATCCGACTAAATGGGGTTTCTACAAGCACGTTCGACCAGCATTTAAAAGATCAACAACGTCAAGCCGAGGCGAACTCGGAGAAGGTCCGGCAAGTACTGGAGAACTCTATTGAAGCCAAATCCGTGCAAATGCGTGACTTACAGAGCCGGGTCGTGCAGATCACGGCCACTGTAGATGAATGGGAGGGTAAATACGATGCAGTCACAAAGGAGCGCGACTCCCAGAAGCAGCTCCTGGTCGCTGAACAGCAGAAATACAAAGAGTATGTAACCGTTGAACGTGTGACGCTGTGGATGCTGACTGTACATCTAGGGAAAGCTCTGTCCAAAAGGAACAGATAGACAATTTGCAGAAACGACTGGAAGCTAGTGTCTCAGAAGACGTTATGACGGCCAAGGTGTCACGAATAGAGGAGCTCGAGAAGGAACTGGCCTCAGCCCGAGCTCACCACGCGAAATTGAGCCAGGAGAAAGATGAAGCTGTTGCTTCGGTTAAGCCTCGCGATGCACAAATAAAAGCGTTACAGGAGGCACTCACGACATTCACAAGTCGCAAATCAACGACGGAGTGTGCGACGAAGAATAAATCAGGTGGAAGTTCCGAGGAGAAGAAAGCTCGTCCATCGAAACCATCGACCCCTCATGAACAGATCCAGTTCAGAGCGCCTGAGGTGCACCCCGTAGCTGCATCGACAGGTCTGTGTGACTACCCCTCAGGTTTAGTATTCAGTACTAACTTTCACGATAAGCCGATCAACGGTCTAAACAGATCACTGGCCCTAAGAAGACTGAGAAGCTGAAGTCCAAGTCATCCTCAAGCACTGCATCACCGGGTTTCTCTGCCGCTCGCCCGATGGAGATTGACTCAGCGTCATCGACTGACGTGGAAATCATTTCAGGACCAATACCGATTATCTCGCAAGGGTCTAATAGTGAGTGACCATCGAATCAACTATTACATTTCTAGTCACCTATACGTTTATTAGCGAAGCAAAAGTCTCTTCGTACTGGATCCAACAAAACATCATCTTCTGGTGTTAACACTCTCCAGACAGTCGACTCTCCCATAGAGAAGACCAGTCTCAAGCGTACTGCAGACACGAACGATTCTTCCACACCAGCTACAAAGCGGCCCAAACTCTTTCTTGACTCGTCCGCTAGCTCCGTTGAGAAAGTCGCGTCCGCTGCATCCAGTTCGCCGGTTTCAACTCCCTTGGGATCGAGATCGGGAACATCTTCACCGGTCATTGCAAAGCCTGTCTTCAACTTTAAATTTCGAAAACATTTTGCACAAGCAAGTACCTCGGTTTCCTCAGGCGGTGCGACGTCGTCGAAAGTTATGGCTAGTTCGTCAAGTGTACGCACATCACAGAGTACGACTTCAACCGAAGCCCCTCCTGCCGGAGCCACCGACAATGGCGTGCATCGCAGATCAGGTAGCATTACCTCAGAGACTGAGCTTGCAGCGGAAAGCACGCTTGGGGCAAAACCCCGAGCCCGATTTCTGAGACATGGGCAAATCAAACCCGCCGTATCGACAGCTGGCGAAGCCAAGAAGCATGCGGAATTCAAAAACTTCAAACCTGCTGATGTTCCTGAAAAGGAACAGCCCTCTGGGTCATCGGCCCGCACAACAGCAGCGAGTGCAGAGCAGGTGCGAAATGCACAAGCTGCAGCCACCGCACCCCCTAGCAGAGAAGCCTCATCATCAGGATCTGCAAAAAGCAAGCCGTCTTTGTTGCGCCAATTCAGTGGGTTTATCTTTTCGAGGATATTTTAACTGAATTCATCCGGCTCCTAGGCGGCATGGATAACCTTTCAATACCTCCATCCAATTCTGCTTCATCTCCGTCCCTTTCAACTGCGTCTGGGAGTATAGTTGATCGGAGCAAGGCAAAGGGCATCTCACGGCCGGCAGGAGCTAAGTCTATCCCTAAAGGTCCGAAGTCGTCAATGGCTATGTTACAGGTGACTCTAGAATCCTCTCCTAAGGCACCGAAGCCGATGCTGGCAACTAGATCATCAAAAAAAGTACCCCAAGGGCCTAGAGCCACACAGGAGCCCAATACTAGAGATACCGAGAAAGGCACCTAAATACCTCTTCGTTCCATTATTTTATATGATTAACCGGGCCTTTCAACTACCCTGCCACCGTAAAGTATTCGAATCCCCGTATATTTATCTTACTCTCGTTTAATATGTTTTACGCGAAGCTGGTTACTATTCCATCATAACTTCGCCTTTGTTAAAAGTGTACGCTAGACGCATGACAATTCAGTGGCCCACGATTAGTGGGAGAAAGAAACAAAAAGGGATCGAAATAATTCCAATCAACACGTGAATTGTGCGCCGCGGCTGCCAGCACTGGCTGTACCGAACACGCGCAGTGACTGAGTGACTAAGAGCGGAATTTATTTGAGTCAAACTCAAGCAAGACACGTCGCTTCGGGCGTGATCGCGAAGACGCTGTGCAGGTATCACGCGGCCCGTTGCCTTAGTATAAATAAAATAAAACCCAATCAACAATTTGTTTCGGGGGGACAATTCAAATCATGTTCGGCCCCGAGGCCTGACTTGCGGGGCCCGGGACACAAATAATATTTGTAAAAATCTAATAGCATAAGAGCGTGACAGCTTTGATCTTGAGTAATTGATCTTAAAAGCTTCCCCGAGGTGATTAGAATATGTCATGGTTGACCTAGGAGGTAGCTTACTGTAACTATCAATGGGTTTTGTTCATATGACCCCTGAGAGGTGCATCAATGTCAGCATGGTTTTGGTCAATTAAGCAAGGCCACGACAAGCCACATATATCGGTTATGAGTAGTGTCGATCCTCGGAGGTATGACAAAGAACGATAAGATGTAATCCGACCGCAATATTTCATCATAACTTCGCCGTTGAACCACACTCCTCGGTCTCCCCACACAGACTCCATACGAACGCGTCCTCTGGCGCTAGTCCACACCTGACTATTTCTTCATATGCAGCCTTCACCTGATCAGGACCACAAACCCGCCGAAGTGACACACCCCAAGTTCCACAGTCAGACATGAGCCTGGTCCAGGCTTCCTTCTGCATCTGAGTGATCGCAGAAACCGAAAGCTGTTGCTTGCGGATAGCAAGCCATTCAGGCATGAAAAAATGTTCCAGCTTTGGGTCATCTCCCTGCGGAGCCTCTGAACCGAAACCCCAGCTAGCAGACGAGGGTTCGATTGTGGAAGCTGATACGTTCGTCAAGCCGAGCGAAATGCATGTGACGAGTTCAGAGTCGCCACATACACGGAAATGGTCGCGCACTCTGGCGTTAAGTGCATCGTTACCTGCGACGTCTACATATATCCAGTGTCCTTGTGCGAGGTTCCTGACAAGTGACGTATCAGATGACTCATAGTCGAAAACGTCGTCGTACAGGGCAAGACGTTTCGTAAAAGCGAGATTCTTTGTTGACGTCAGTCCAATAACTCTTCTAGTCGAACTCCCCTGTAGAGAATTACGTTTGCGAATCAAATAGGCCAGGCAGAAGGCGGTCTTTGAAGAGGCAGAAGATATAAGGATCTGAGCAGATCCTCCCTTGTAATTGGACGAATTGAGCCAGTCCTCGCACCAAAACGAAGTCCAGAAAAGAGGACGGTAGAGCATTGTGAGATCTTCCGCAGTCGGCGATGGATCATATAATGGGTCCTGGGCGCACCGTGTAATCTGATTGTATGGTCGGCGGTCTATGATATTTAGTCAGTGCCTTCGTGCGTCAATTGATGAACCAAATCACCTGGAGGAAGATGAGGTCGGGGCACAAAGAAGGCATACTTGTTCACGTCCGGGGATACCTGGAGCAAAAGATATCGTGCTGGGGCGAAGTATCCATATACTCGTTCTCCAGGATGGACTTTAGGGTGCGTGGACTTGATGATAGTACCAAAACCCCACACAGGAGTCACACCATGAGTTTTTGAGGAGACTCCTTCTGCCTCGGGAATGTGGTGGAATTCAAAATACCTAGCACGCCAAAGTAAGTAGGTGAAATGTCTAATATTGTGGAAAAGGACGGACCTGAAATGCGTAGCCTCGCCCAAAGCTTGATACGTCACGTTGTTTGCGGAGAAACCGAAGCGGTCGACTTCTAGCAGGACATGGTCATTGGGAATAGTCTGCGGAACTTCACATTTGACTATTATCGCTTGACTAGGATCTTGGCCAGAAGACGCCCTCGGGTGACAAAGTATCAAGTTTTCCATCTGTTGCACGTTGACATTCAGATTCGACAGAGGCTCAATACAATAATGGCGCTGGCGCCTACTATACCTCACGGCTGAGTCGTCACCCCCACAAGTCGTCACGACCTAAATATCTCACTCAATTCTTACTTCCACACACAATTTACAACTTAAATCGATGTTTCTATCATGCACCTTTCATTGCGAGGTTGAACGATCAATTTTTATTGAGAAATGGTGAAGTTCATTGAAAGCCATCAAAATCACGCTGGTGACAGCCAGCCGAGCGCTGCCGTAGCGGAGTTCTAAACCAATACTACCACTGGCTGTGACGACTTGTCAGTGAGCCGACGACTCGGACATGGCTCAATGAAATAGCCGCCCAAAAGGCAAATCACAAGAGTCGCGTGCCAGACTGCCAGTGATCCCACAGGCGGCCTATGTATATGAGCAGCGGACTGTTTGGCAATGGGAGAACGCGCGCGAGAAACACCGCATCAAACACTGACAACCCGACTGCCGTCAGCGCCGCACCCGTCGAAAGTGAAACTCCACCTGTTCTGGCACTGCCTGCCAATAGCTCTCATTGTTCTTCTTGCGAACATCCGAATGGTTCTTACTTAAATAGTCCTGATCTATGCTATGAAATACCTTATTGCAATCCTCCTGTACATCCAACTCACAGCAATATTTGTACCAGCATCTCGGCAATTTTCTACATTACACCAGCATCAATTTCATTTGCCTCATCATCACGGACCACATAGTTCTCATTCTCATGTAGCATATCCTGCACCATACAGCCATTATAATAACAGCCACGCCCCATACTATATTCCACATCACACCAACCAAAATTTTTGACCTGTGACTCGACCGCGAATTTCTTAGGCATTGCCGAGCGGACTCTGAAAGCGGTAGCAGTGAGCTGCTGTGACAAAAGCGTGACCTGGCGACTAGTGGGGGTGACGACTCAGCCGTGAGGCATAGTACTTCAAGTTAAAGTGCATAGTATTTACTACTAAGTACTTAGCCGCTCAGCGGACTTTGTCACGGTAGTGAACGACGTGTCACATACACCGCCACCACCATGACTCTCTGTACACCCTCATTTCAAACTTGGCGGCAAGTCGGGCTAGAGAGAAAATGACTCATGATGCATAAGCGGTCCTGCCAACGACAGGAGGTCTCAGAGAAAACTCTGTATAAAGTTACATTTTTTGCTGACAAAGTTGATTGTACACTTGCTGGCGTGTTTCTACTGCCATTGTATTTCTTGTTTTCACAATAAGCAAGTCATCTGGCTTGACTCGTCGTCAAAGTGCGGTGACACTTCAGCGACAGCCTGAGACTCGATACACGGCAGAGCAAACCGCGTCAGACATGATGAAAAGGAAGGAATCCCCGCCGACAGGATGTACTGGGGGGTCTAAAGAACGACGGGCAGGGAGATTACTGAGAATATAGGAAAGAAAGGTAAAACTGAAAGTTGTAAAAACAATGTGCAATGTGCAATGATGAGCGGTATTTCTTGCTTTGATGACGATGCGGATACGAGGTGTGAGTTGGATAAATATGCGGTTGTCGTACGGGACGACACGACACCATTCTAGTAGGGCGGGCGTTTGAACTCGTTGCTAATGATCTGTGCCTCGGGGTCGAATTCGTCGTCTTTCACGATTTTGCCACTGGCGTCGTACTCGCCAGCCGAGCGATCGGGACTGGCGAACGTGTCCATCTGGACATGTGGTATTCAGAACGGAGAAGAAGGCGTCTGTGGCAAACCCTACCTGAACGTGTACACTGTCGCCTTTCTTGACGGAAATGCGACGATTCGTGCTAGCGTTGCTCCTGAATGCGAGTGTCGAGCCCTGGGTGGAACTGTGTGTGAAGAAAATGGATAAGAAGTAACGTACGAAAGGACTGAAAACGTACGTGAAAACCTCTGGACCTTGAGAGGTAAAGTTGGTCAACCTTCGTACGACGCGGCATGCTACGATCTGGAAGCCCATGTTAATACACACTCAAAAAACTATATTTGTGCAAACCGTTGATGCGATGGCAGCAGGGACATTCGCAATGATAGATAGGACTGCATTCAAGTTTATGAGCATGAAGATCGTCGCCATCAAGTTTGCTAAAAATCTGGGGAAATGGTTGAATAAGCGAAGGCGCAGCACACAATGAACGTACGCAATAGCAAAGTAGATCAGGCCGTCCCCAAATATAAGCTTGATAAGTTTGGAGCGACCGTTAGCCGGGAAGGCGAGTTTCCAGCCGGTCAAGCACAAGACTGTGAAGTCAAACGCCATGGAGTAGATGAAGGTAATGGCGAGGATTTGGTTATCCGTGTAGATAATGACACATTCTCCATCTACCCATGCAGCCTTCAACAAGATGCCTGGTGAAATCGGTTGTTATACCCGCATATATGCACTGGTTTAGTGGACGAATTACGCGTACCATGAAGGAGGAATGACCAATGGCCCAGAATGATCAGAACGAGGACAGTAACAACATATTTGTTCTGCGACCATACTGCCATGCTGTAGTACGTGTCAGTTGCAGAAGGCTGGAAATATATACGTTTGCGACCGACGTTCGCAAGGACAGATTAATGCTGGCTAAGCCAATTGCAGTATTGCCGAAGATCTGGTTGAAGGTATATAATGCCTGACAATTAACCTCGCTTGTCACGTTGAGCGCAATAGAGCTAAGTAATATGCTTCAATAAAACACGTAAAGTGAATGAAGAGACAGAACTTACATCCCAATCAACGCGAAGAGTAAACTGTAACGACCAGAAAAGTAGAATATCTGTCATAGATCTATTGTTGAAGGGAGGGCACACTCAAATACTATGAAACTTTACCAGGGGCCATCGGAATCGCCTCTTGCCCGAGATAAACTGCCAGTCAAAATCCAGCGAACTGAGGAATTCCCATCTATGCCGCATCAGTGACAGTCCTTGACTCACTTGAACGCATCTTACAGGTAGAGCCCAAAGAGTACATGCATGAACTTGCTAAATGACTCTACTCACACCACGTAAGGCTAATAAACCCAAACAAGATATATCTCTGACTTACCAGCGTTAGCGACCAGCGTCTCTTGGGAGTGCCAGTCGACCATGGTAGCTTTCGGGATGCACGACGACGATGGTACAGAGGGGGACGACCTGATGGGGCGTCGAAACTGAAGGTTTCCCTTATATAGGGCGGGAGTACTTGATAGGGCCACTTCTTGCCATATATGCGAGCGGAACTACTAGGATAAGTATGCTCTTCTTACATGGAACCACTGCAACGTGCAACGCAGGGATACGTAAGGCTCCAGGAAGCATTTCGGCTGCCAACTCTTGCTCGGAACTTAAATATATCAAATACCCAAGGGGCGAGACTGACATAGTATGCGGAGGCCCTAGGTACTGCGCATGAATACATGAAGTACTACTTACCTCCCCTGTCGTGCATCCAGAATTTCAGCCCGGCATGGACATGAAGGCAGCGGAGTTCATGTTCACATGGGCGGCATTCTCGATTGATTTTCTGACGATCCATGCTGATCGATATCGATGATCTTTGGAACCTGTGAAAGTCACGAACGGTGGCACTTGCCACTTTAAAGTTCAGAGAATTCCGCGAATTGCAAATACAACTGCATCGGCACACCTGCCGACTTCAGCACTGCTTCAAATTCGTCCGGTGCCCTGCTGGATGTTTCAGTACTATGTAGTAGTACTTCAGCAGGAGAAAATGACAAACCACTAACAGAACTATCCTTCTTCGTGTTATGTGGGTGTCTTGTACGCGTCGCAGTAAAAACTGCTATGTAGTATGCTCTGCTACAGCCACATTCTAGATAGCAGCTACTACATAGATCAAGGGGCAACAGAGGTCGGGTAGAGACCTTATTTTTAGTGCAGTGATGAATATTTTCACTTGTGACACAAGAAAATCAATATTTGAAGTTCTCTGCCTTTCGACCTCCGGTATTCTGGCATATGAGGAAACATAGTGTCTGCAGTTAGTCTTCAGACCTTTAGGTCTCCCGAGTTGTGTATGAACTCGCCGTCTCGGACTATGTAATACATAGTAACAAACAGTAACAATTCGTCACGCGTCACGCCTAATGAGCGATCCCTTACAGTGCGTCATATTATAACCTTAATTCTTTAAGTTGCCACGATCTCTTCCTACCGGCGGGAAGCTGCACATGGGCTGCTCTGAGGCCTGATGCTGAGCGCTGAATTACAATTCAAGTTCTCATTATAACATGCCGCGGATGCGGTCGTTATACTGCAACGTCAACGTTCTATCCCCTGATCGCAGCCACAGTGCCGCCAGTGTGGCGACTATGTACTCCTGATGGCATAGTGCTAGTACTAGTTCTATGTAGCATATTCAGGCCAATTCGATGGTTTCCAGAAACCAACACGACCAATCAATTAATCAAGAGTCGAAGAAGGTATCTGCCGTGATGGACGGGCAAACCGCCGGTCTCTCCTCCGAGTCAAATCTCAGCGTTCTGCGTACCTCCACTCCCTCTCCTGTCTTCACATACTCAAATTTTCTCATTAATCAAACTGACACTGCCCTCTTTTCAGGTGGTTTGAAATATTGAACTTCAAGTTCCATCACCAACGTGTTAGCCCAGCGATCGTCTTGAAGAGCCAGTGCATCCTGATCTGCATCGGATATTGCGGTTCACTACGATGACACAGCAGGCCAACTCACGGCAAAGATTTTATGGACGGAGCGTTCATCGAAAGCCACGAGATAGAGCTTGTGGCGTTGTTAACGGACATTTTGAGAACAACTTGCAACTATCATGCTGACGTCGCGAGCGGCCAGTATGGCTTCTTTCAGGCAAGAAATTCTTGCCTGATACCTTGCAGATCGCTGGAACTTTGAATGAAATTGAACCAGGAGCATATCGAGCTTCTGACCGTCAACCGTCTTCTGCAGGAGTTCTTTTTTTCTTCACGCAGATGACCTTACGTTTTACTGGATTCGCGGCGCAATGTCTACCTTTCTCGCCCTCATCTCCGCAAGTAGTGAGTAGCCCGCCACCATGTAATGTTCTCCGTTGATTCAGTCGACGGCTACTAACAGTCCTTCATTAAACCATCATCTCACGTCTGTCACTAGTGATTCGCCCACACTTTGATACCCGTGCTCAGGCCTCAGGGACTGCTCATTCCAGCTCATTCCCCGTCCATTACCTCTCTCCCTCTCCCATCTTCTCACGAGTCACAGTATCTCAGGACAGTTGATATTCAAGCCTCAGTCAATTCATGAATAATGACATTGTGAATTTCCCCTGTTATTGAAAAAGGGTCTAGATATCCCCAGTCTCTGATGCAACATTAATGTGCTGTCAGGAGCTACGCTCCCGAGAACAAGGCTTGCTGTCCGATTGGCTAAGGTAAAGAATGTCATCTTGAGCTCTGACCGCGCTGGTGCTTCTCGAATGTGATCTCCTAAGTTGTAGCCAGAAGGTTGCTCGTCTCTTTCGGTTCGTACAGATAGGGGGAGTCGGCATTTTAGTTGCATATCCAGAGAAGGCTAGCGATGTCCACACAGCCCATATTGCACGTCCCTCACATATATACTACGTACTTTCAAAAAACATCAAATGATTTGATAGTCAGTCTACTGTACAGTACTACAGGCTTAGTTCGATAGCAGACCCGAGTCAGCCACACCCCCAATATGCTCGCTCGTACCGTCACCTCTTTCAAGTTGTATGATCATATTACTGTACACGTGTGCATATTGCACCCTACTTTTCATCTGTCGTCCTTATTTCCAATCCACTTACTCGGAACCGCCGGCGTTCGATATTCGCTCAGCTTCCGATCACGCCACGCAGACCCGGCGGCTGTTTTATTACTTCCTCGGTTTGGCCGTGGAAAATTTGGTCAATTCCTACACTTGATCACTAAGACACTGCCATCTATCTGAGTCGCGACTGAGACTTACAGGCCTTTCTAATTATCAATATATTCAAACCAGTTATCCATTCTTGCCAGGGACATTCCAGCCAACCATGAGGCACAGTCACCGTGATGGTCCGAATGATAAGGAACGTGTATTTAGTCCACGACCTGTCCAAGATGCAACTTGCAAGTCGTCATTCAGGCATGCTGTGACAGACTGGCGGCGACTTGATACGCTGCAAGTGTACAGTTGGGACATATCCCTACTGAATCAAGAGCGGTCTGGACTCTTCAATAACTGCACTGACAATGAAAGTCTATCAAGCGCGGAAAGACGGAGCTAAGCACCAAGACGCTAAGATAATTGAAGGCGCTTATCCTGATTCACGCTAAGTAGATGTTTCGGTGACCGTCCCAAATTCATTGAATAGAAGCTGAAATCGTTGGGCTCAGCTTGAATCTGGATTTCACGGTTTGCTCTTGAACAAGCGTTTTAATGATCAAATCAGCTTTGCCAAGAGTCATGGGAGCGAACTCATTTTCGCAGGAGAACGGGGATATCAGGGCACGAGTCCAATGGTCGACCGTGGAATGAGCATTGCACCAGCCTGTCCGAGGCAGTCGGCTAGCCATAAGACCGCCAACTTCTCATGGCTCATACTTACAATCAATCCAATCGTGACAGCAATGGAACTTACAAAAGGGTAGTATCCCCGTGGATCGTTGGGGCTGTTGTCAAAACAGATAAATAGCACGGCCCTGCTGATATTGTCCTAACACACTCCTTTCTACTCCAACTTGACGGTCTTGGTGCCGTTCATAAGATCAGAAGCTTAAAGCAGTTCGCGACCTCTAGCAAGATGGTGAACTGGAAATCGGAGGAAGTGATCCAGATGGATTCCAGTGCGTATCGGTGATGTTTGCCTTGGTTTTGCTCATCCGACCTCAGTGATCTTCCTGAAGTTTATGCATGCCCTCCTTGGTCTATACTTGTGAGCTCAACTTGGCTACGCAGTGATGATTATGATCTAATGGGCGACTCAGATGGGAAGTCTTTATCTCTCTGGACTTCGACTGGGCTGTCATGACAGGCAAGACGAGGTTCCGCTGGCCACTGGTGAGGACATTTCTGGTGCTTTGCTGAAGTACATTTCTAAACCTGTCGTTCACCAGGTTTTCTACTTTGCCGGCCGGTATCTTCTTCTTTTTGCGCTCATCGGAATGTAAGTGTGCTATGCTTTTGTTTCACCGCTTCTCACCCCTCACCTAGTGCTGTAGCCCTGGATACACCAAGGTACGCTGCGACGTCAGTTCTCGTTCCTCGGTAAACACCTCTGTTTCTCGCCAGTGAAATCAATTGTCAAGCACTTTATGCCTTCAATCAGGTGAGTTCACACCATGGGAAGAATGGCATGAAAAATCATTCCATTTAGTTAGCTGGTAATGCGGCGGTCGGACTCGCGAGCATTAACCTTTCTTTCCGGACGTGAGTCAAAGATTGATCATGTCACATGCCCGTCTCATCTGGTGATAGGATAGCTATCTGGTCTCAGAATATCTGGGTCGTTATCTTCCTGGTGTTGATCATCATCGGGCATTGGTCCCTCATCTTGCAAGGTATATCACCTTCTCATAAGATTGTGAAACTAGTTGATTGAGCGTCCTCGCAGGTGTCCTCCTGACTGCCGTCTGGCGTCCCGGCATCGGTTGTGCAATCACTTACAGTGATACCACTATCCTTGCTGCCACTTTTATTTATTCAATGTGTCTCGATTTTGTGGTCTTGTGCCTTTCGGCATATAAGCTCGCCTGGACACCTACGCGGAATGGCACGAACGGTGCACCCACCAGACTCGTCAGGATGTTATTCTCCGATGGCTTGATATATTTTTTTATCGCGTATGTCTGTTTGTATTTCCTTTCCAGAGCTATTCAATACATAACATTTCCTGCGTCAGGTTCGGGTCCAATGTGATCGCGACAATTATGATGGTGCTCGACTTGAATGCCACCATGAGTGTCATTTGCAACGTCCCAGCTGCTATTGCTTCAACAGTGAGCCTAGTTTCTCATACGCTCATTTTCTTGCTAGACTATTGAATACAGATTGTGGCATCTCGTGTTGTCAGGCGGCTGACCAAGTTCCAGCGTTCAGGACTAGAGATGATGTAAGTGTGTTTTGCTGTATATGGGTATGTCGGAGCTGCTACGATGTTCAATTTTTAGCAGCTTGCCTCGGGAAAACTCCGGTACTCCATTCAAGAACACCAATGCAGGACTTTCCAATCCAGTTAATACACCAAGTACCGCTAGCATTCACGTCGAGGTGGGCAATAAACGCACATAGTGTGCCTTTCTTTCCTCATCAATGTCACTGCGTACAGATGGACGCCTTTACACATGCGGCGAATATTGACCTTGAGGGGTATCCTGGCGTCCGTCGCACCACGTCTTCAGCAGCAAGCTACAATGAGGACCATAAGCCGGTTCAGGTAGTTTGACGTAAATGCCGCATTGTCTGGACGTCTTCGATAGACCAAGTAGTCTCGCGAGATGCTTTAGCATTTATTTTCATCTGGACCATTCTCAATAATCCAAGTTGTTCATTATTTACCATATAACGTATTCTTAAGGTACTGTTCGACGGTTCCTCGCCAATTACAATGAGACGCCAGGTACACAATGACGAGCCCAAAATTGGAGTTGATATCGTCATAATTCATCTACAGTGCGATTAGTACACATGTGGATGACATGGTTCATCAGGCAGGCCACTTTTTCAGTTTCAGGGATGGCAGATTGAAGCCCATTCTGCGCTGGCGCGGCTGGCGATGTGCCTGCCTCTGGGAGACTGAAATTGGTGGCCTCAAGTGTGATGGAGTCTACCTCTGACAACGCCAGAGGGCTCTACCGTACGGCAGTCCCTGGAGATTGTTGACTAACGCGGAATAATGAGGTATGATCATTTCCAGGTGCGTGAAGTCTTTGATCATGCTCACATGCGCGCCATCGAGCATCACATGTTTACCCAGGATGAGTTTGTATAATGTTGGAGTTTCGAATTTGGCCATGTAGGTTGCGATATGAAATTGTGTATACGTGAAAGTTGCCACGGGTTTATGAGCGTGATGGCTTCTAGGAAAGGAGTGAGGTCAGAAGCACAGGATAGACTGCAGTTCCTCGGGCTGCATTATCGTGGAGATCATGATGAGTGTGCGGGTGTGGGTTGAATGCCCTAATGCTAACTGGATGACATTATGAAAATTGCTGTAAGCATATATCACAAGCCTCAATGAGGCACCCTCACTAAAAATCTAGCCAACTTCTCTTGTGCACTAGTAAGCACTGGCAGCGATGGGGCAATACAAGTCCACAGAGCCCTTAACTTAAAGATTAGTAATACACTCACGTGACGTGCTGGCCGTATTGCCTCCACCGTAACTCCAACGTAACATCACTGGCAGATACCTTCGTCCGAGTTAGGCATGCATCGTACGTCGACACGCTACGTAGTACGCTTTGTGTCCTGAGTCCGCCGCTGTGTTTATAACATCAAGGAACTTATGCATGGTGGCAAGATTTGAAACTCCAATCGTCCTCGATGTTCACAAGGTGACGTGAAGGCTCGCTTTCTAGGAACTTTACCAACCTATGTACTTACCGAGGAGACGCAAATAGTCTTTTGACACGTTCAAACGTTTGTCTACAGGATTGTACTCGATTAGTACTCGATAAGTCCGCTTCTCTGCGCCCATGGGAAATTACCTGCTGTGATTGCTGTACGTCCCTATCCTAGTAGCACCCCAAGCGCTTAAGCCTCCACATTCTGATGGGTCAACCATCTATGATTGGTCACATATATACCGCTCTCTACGGAGCGCTTGCGAAGTACCCAGCCTCCAAGCCTAGAATACTATCTAGGACTTCCAGTGTCCAGGGTGAGCTTGGCCGTATCTAAGCCTCGTGTAGGAGATAACGACTATAAAAACGGCGATCAGAACACTTCATGATTATTACCGTCCTTCTACCCTCGTCTGTAGTTTGTCGTAGTGAGCTTATCCATGACAGCAGCAAGAATGCAACCAAATGAACCAGTAATCCCTGGGGCATTAGCAGTAGGTCAAGCTGATACTTCGTGAATTCGGTTCTGACATTCCTTGCAGGAGAATGTTCCTGAGCGCCCGCTCATTGAAAAAACGGAGAAGGCCGAACACCACTACTTACGACGTTGGCAGATATGGGCTAAGGAGGCCGATCCAACAAAGCAAACTCCCGCACAAGGATGGAATGATCAAGGATGGGGTGCTCCACCCGTGGAATATGCTTGGCAACCATATGACCCATCATCTATTCAGCCTGCGCCACCTCGCGAGGACGTCGATAATTTCTTTTACCTCAACATCCGGTATACTAACCGGGACGGTACGACATACGATCTAAACTCTGGCTCCGTGCTTAGCTTTTCACAGCGGAACCTGATGTAGTTTTCAGTCATTTCAGCAACACCCTGATCGACTTCCTGCGGTCCGTGTTTTCGAGTATCTTCCTCTGCAAATCTTCATCCCATCTTCTTAGCATGTCTATTGGCGACGAATTTTTCGACACAAATCCGGACTCATCTCTCACTCACTTTGTCTTCAAACTTGATGAGCTCAAGGCCCACCTTTCGGATGCACGCTCAGCTTTGTCTAACCTTTCAGGGGAGGAGTTGAGGACAAAAGCGCAAGAACTTGGCCGCTTGGATTCGCTGACCCGTATGCGTCATTTTAACGATAATCCTTGCGTTAGCCATTAGCTAAGCTCCACGTCAGCGCAGCAAACCGAACAAGATGCCCAGCAGTACCTCGAGGATCTCGTCAATCAATTGGACGTTCTCATACCTTTGGTTGAGAAAGAATTCGAGCCCATGTGAGCACTTCTGTATCGCAAAATCAAATGATGCTTATTCCTATTTTACTAGATCCAAGCGCCTAGAATTAGAGCTATCTTACGGCCACATTTCATTTGATCTTCTCTTGTACTACTTCAAGAAAGGAGAGAGATATTATTACGAGTTTCTGGGCGATAAGGTCAGTTATGATATTTTGCTGGATGTTGTACTGAGCGACTTATACGAATTAGCTGGCCTTTGTACTAGAGGACACAAGCATGGACTCATCTTTTCGGCAAGCATGTTTCCTCCGATATTTTTGTTCACTTTTGACGTGACTCCAACCCTTAGTATCCTGAACATTAATGGCCATGGTATGATATGGGATGGCCTTGGACACATCCACGAGCACAGAGGTGTTGATATTCCTCGTTACCCCGTAAGCTGGACCTTCTTGCTACTATTGTTAGTTTTCACCGATGGGATTGCAGGGGACAAAGGCGTTATCTGATCTTCAGTGCAAAATCGTGCAAGATGATGTGCACAATGAACTGACTGGTATGTTGTTTCTGTGATGTTTGGCGACGTACGTCCCTACATCTATTCCTTCAGAGCGCGGAAGATTATATACTGCTGTGTCAGGCGTTCATTTCAAGTCATGTGCGTATTTTTTGGTGTCTCGTTATGTTTGGCTGATCTATCACTCAAGATGATGGCGTAAGCTCTTCGTCACTCTCATTCATGAAGCTTGACGAATTTACCCCAGCGCCGCGTGGTCATTGATGAAAATGGCTATTGTGGCAGAGATCCGGGGTATTTACCCTCTGATGTCGATGTCGTGAATGATATGCTAATTCGAGGTTTAGTGATTATGATGATTATGTTCCTCCGCGTTCAAGTAGAAAACGCGTGACATCTCCGCCTGCACCTGGTTGTGGCAATGCAGGTCTTTCTCGTCCTGATTCCCCTTACGCGTACGTGCCGTCCTGTTACTGAACGTCATCATTCATGAAGGTATCCGTTAGCGGTGACAACTCAGGGCAGGAATTGTTGTATGTTCTCACTAGTGCTCGTGAATGTTATACTCATAATGACATCAGGGAGTTCCCGGAAGACCAACTGTACCTCTTACCAGTGAAAGTACATGGTTTCGATGTCCGTCGCAAGGCATGTACCAGTACATTAATATGTCCATGGAGCCCTCATGCAACTAACCTTGCGTCAGACTTGGGAGACGATCGACGTTCGTAAACTTGAGGAGATCCATTTCGATGAACATGCTTGGGACCATCTCGTTCTTAATAAAGCGACAAAGGTAGAAGAAACATTGGCAATTGAACTTGAAGGATCAGCTTCTGATAGTTGATTAGGTTCTTGTCAAAGGGCTCGTCAATGTCACAAAGACGACCAATACATCTGGGGAGGTATTCTCTGATGTCATTACTGGGAAAGGTGGGGGAATGGTGAGGACATCTCTATACGTGGATGATTCTGGTGTCACCAATAAATTTTCAGATTGCGCTCCTACACGGTCCGCCTGGGACAGGCAAAACGCTGACCGCAGAGGCTGTGGCTGAACACCTGAAACGACCACTCTACGTTCTCAGTTCACTTGAGCTTTCGACTACACCCGCTACATTGGAGAAAAATCTGGGTGATGTCCTGAGGGTTCGTGAGCTTAATTTTTGTTCGCCTTTTCTTGATCATAGCGCTGTCACAGCTTGCAACGACATGGGATGCAGTCGTCCTCATTGACGAAGCCGATGTGAGTTGGTTTCGATATCTACGCGTCATGTTCATTCCATATGCTGCACCTATAGGTATTTCTGGAGCAAAGGAGTCTTCACGAGGTCTGTTATTATACATCTCTTACAAATTGCAATGTCTGAACATTCCTGAAGTTGGAGCGCAACGCCCTCGTTTCTGTTGCTCTTCGGGTCCTCGAGTACCATCGTGGCGTCCTTTTCTTGACTACCAATCGTATCCAGGCCTTTGACGAAGCCTTCTTATCCCGGTTTTCCATTGGTAGCTACCTCTCTTATTAAGAATCCTTCCATTACCTGACGTCTGTTAAAGCCGTGAAGTACCCAGAGCTGGATGTTGACGCCCGCTTGACTATCTGGCGAAAGTTCTTTGAGCTTGCTGGGTGCGAACTGTGGGGAGGCAGTGGACAGCCTGGAGACGGACGGCAGAGCCCGGACGAGTTTGTCAAACTTGAAGGACAAGAGCCGCAGTGCTATGTTTCGCTTGCTGACCTGAAGGAACTGGCCGCGAAGCCTTTCAACGGTATGCGCTACTTTTCATACTTGAAACATTTCCATTGACTAGTCGCAAAAAAAATTAGGTCGCACTATCAAGAATCTTGTGCGGACCGCGCAAGCGTTGGCCATGTCATCGTATGACATTTCCTTGTATGATGTATTCCACAGTACTGATACTTGTGGTTTTAGGGACGAACCGCTTTCCCTTGAACACGTCAAAGTCGTGGTTGAAGCGCAAGAGAAATTCTTGACCGAGTTTGCTAAAATCAAATTATGATTGTGATCTTTGGTTATCGTGTAACAAGTAGTCATGTTGTTTTGTATGTAAAACCGGTGTTTGTGATATGTGGAAGATGCATTCTTAATGTCTGACTTTCTTCTAGACTCCTAAGATACTTGGTAGTGTTGTGCTGAGGAAAAAAAATACACTAAAATTTATGTAGGATGTAATCTGACTGGCTCAAACTCAAACACCTACATATAACCATCAGACCATAAGTCTTTGATAAGGCCATCTGATCTATGAGCTCGTATTCGCCTGGTTGCCAGGGCCCAGGACCTTGGTTAGTGTGAGGGCAAAACTGCTTGCTTTAGTTTTGCCGGTTATAACCCGGCTCGGCGAAACCGGCAAAACTTGGTTGCAGAATCTGTGTACGACATTCCTAATGATGACTCATCAATATTTTGCCTCGTCCCAGCCGTCACCCTCGCCATTGTAATTAACCACCTCAACCTCATCTAGAACAGTCTGTGGTATTATTCCTTGTACATTTCGACGATCCAACTCGTCAAAATCAAAAGCATTTCCATCGAGCACGTCAACTTCGTTACATGATGCTCTGAACTTCTTCAGTCCTTTTCAACTCTTCGAGAGCTGGAAATTCAACGGCAATATCGTCAGGCGAGATACTCTCTGGACCAGCAAGAAGGTCATCTACATTGCGAAGCTCAGTCGAGAGCGGAGGTGCCCATGCGAAGGATGTTTCAAGATTCTGTGCAGTCTTGACAACAATGCCAACCTCTTCACGAGTGTGCATGTGAGCATGTCGACAGTGGGTGGACTTCCCAGCCTCCGCAGCGGAGCAGTTGCATTTTGACAGCGCTTGATAAGATGATTCGGTAGGCTGTTGTCACGACCTTGGATTCGAGTACCTGATGAGTTATCTGTAGTGTTTGCATTTCCAGTAGTAACGATGTGAGCTGTTGTCAACTCGTTCCAGGCGCTCGAAATTGTCATTGATCAGTGATGCAAGGGGGCGCCCTCCAGCATGCACCATCTTACTTTAGGGACGTCGTTTTGCAATGTGCATGTTCTCTTGAATTCAAACTATGTCATCAGAGATCTCAATTACATCTCCGCGAGTCTCGGATACCCTGGAGTTCTACCAAGTTTTGCCACCCTGAGTTCTGCCGAGGACCAGGCACAACCAGTTTTGCCGAACCGGTTGGCAAAACTCGGTAGTTTTGCCAACAACGTTATCCAAGATGTTGTAAATGGGTTTCGCACAATCTCTGTACGGCCCAAAGTGGCAGTTGGTGCTAGGTGACCGTGATGTACCAAGTTCGTCAAGGTATTCAGTCTCCATCATCAGTGCCTACTGTAGGCTACTAGTAAGCTCACCGTAAGCATCAAACTCCTTTCGGACAAGCGAGAAAACCGGCTACAATCCCCTGTCGCTCGGTTCCAAGGTACGAGCAATTACCAGTGCACCGTTCATCAAGGTTCATCACAACCACGTCATCCTGTTCTTGTCCAAGGGACCTTGTCGGCGTCCACAATGATTCACGCATCCCCGAGTAGTCATAGTAGTAAATACCCTGAGCAGATACTTTTTGTATTAATTACATAGTTATATATATTGAGCTCCAACTCACGAGTGCAACACCGATCGACAAGTCGATTAAATGGTCGCAGACTGGCTGAAGTAGTACTTACCAAAGCACATAGTTGTCCAAAATCAGCCAGACTGAGACGTGGGATCCAAGATTGCTGCAATGTCATGTGGGTTCAAGGTTGGGAGGAAGCGGCATTAATCAGGTCGTGTCATGTCTACGTTTCGCATGCGCGTTTCAGCCTCATCCTCTCCATTTGTCAAGCCTCAATCCGAACTCATTCTGGGCTACTATCTACGTAGTAACCGTTCAGCACTCTCACTTCAAGTTCAGCACTAATTTCGGGTGCACGTCGTGGATTATCGAGCACGCTCTCCGTCTTTTATTGTGCCGCACTTCCCGCCGTATATTTGCATATCTCTCCCACTCGAGATTAGCTTAGTACCTTTAATAGCTTGCATGGAGCATGTCAGCATGATGCGTGGGGCAATTTTTTTTAGATCATTGTTTATTGTCCGGTGGGGTGGAGCACTATGCTGGACAGTACGTACGGTTGACGTACGTTATTTGGTCCAATCTACTATTGTATGTGCAGTGTGTTCTGACTCTTCTGAGTGTTACTATGATACTGGTCCAGGCTTGCGCGAGGACGATGGACGCCGTCTTAAGGCGCATTTTTGGGGTTGGTGGCTCGTTGGCTATCCAGAACAATTTTTATAACGAGCATGGAAACTACATGATATGGAAGGGGCGAATGAGTGGAGGCCAGAGCGGCGGCGTGGTCACGGCGACCCCCTGAGCGTGTTTGTAACGTGAAAAGTGGGCGCTTGGATAAATTAGAATTCGGACTGCACTAAGGGAGATGGGTTTATGTCAAAGGAGGGCATTGAACTGACTTGGAATGTACATGAATATTCAGAGGAGTGAGCAGCGCACGCCGGACACAGTCACGGTGTTGAGAGGCAAGACACTAACAGACAACGTCAGCGAAAGAATAACTGTTGGAACCAACAAAAGATGGTCTCCTCGGGGTCTTGCATAGGCTTGAAACTCGTACCTTGACTCGGACTCGGGGACGCCACTTCTGGGAACCGAGAATTTTCAGACGAGAGGGACTGGTTACTTGACAAAACCCTAGCCGTGGGAGAAGGGGACGGCTCAATGGATATGAGTGCTTTTCCCTGTGCCACCGTGGCCAATCAGTCGACCAATATTACAGAAATCCCGGCCACACTAGATCCTCGGGTACAAACACTGAGTTTCACAAGTGCTGACTCGGAAAAATCAGACAGTGACTGCATGGTCAGTAGTATGAGAATGGGGAGTAGTAGGCTATTAATGACTACGTAATATTGATAAACGGTCGCGACGTTATATGTATTCATACGCCGGGTAATCATAACATCATATGATCAATAGTATACGGATCTACACGATTGAAGCGCTGATATCTGCGACCCAAAGATCCGAACCACCCCTAGATATCAATACACCCGTTACACTATATAATCCCATGCTCCGGACCGTGGTACTAATACCCCAACTTGAACCTTCTCTCAATCCACATCATGTCAGACGCACCGGAAGTCCAAGTCAAGGCCACCTCAAACGGCATTCCTGTCCCAAGCTTCGACTTGCCAGTCAGTTATTGTTGTGGTCCTCACCAGTTCTTTCTAACAAGGCACTAGTTACCTGATAGACCAGAAATCATCACCGCCAACATTCAGAAGCTCACAGAGCTAACACCCAATCCGTACGTGCCATGTACTTCAAACGCAAGTGGGTACACATATAACACATTGCATACATGCAGACGCAACAGGTTCATATTCAAGGCGCTGATAAAGCACCTGCACCAGTTCATCAACGAGACCAGGCATGTTTATTTCCTGCTGAATCTCCAGTTCCCGACTGACGCCACGACTATCCCTAGTTTAACCACAGAAGAATGGATGGCAGCAATTGATTTCTTAACGCGCACTGGACAAAAGTGCACACCATTGCGTCAAGAAACCATTCTGCTATCAGATGTCCTAGGTGTTTCTGCTCTTGTCGATTCGTTAAATAATCCCATTGCGGGAGGGGCAACCGAGAACAGCGTCCTGGGTCCATTCTTAACGGAGGACGCTGCAGATGGTGAGTTGCAAGCAATTCCAATGCACGTCTAGTTGTAAATAGAGTCGCAGTGAACTTCGGTGAATCGATTGCGTCTGAAGGAAAGGGAGATTACATGTACGTCGAAGGTCGGATCTTGACGACTGACGGGCAGCCAATCCCTAATGCCGTCATTGAAACTTGGGAGACCGATGCTAATGGTTAGCTCCTGCCGAACCTCATCTTACGATTCATACTCATTATTTCTGTCAGGATTCTATGACATCCAATACGAAGACCGCACTCATCCCGATTGCAGAGGTCGCCTACGCTCTGGTGACGATGGTAGATTTGGCTATCGTGCTGTTGTACCAGTAGCGTACCCAATTCCTGGAGACGTAAGTCGATGTTTCATGCCTACGTAACCTTTCGTTAAAAATGCCGTATTTTTAACAGGGTCCTGTTGGTGAACTTCTTCTCCTTCTTGGTCGACACAACATGCGGCCAAATCATTTACACATGATGGTCGAAGCTCCTGGTTTCCACAAGTTAGTCACGGCATTTTATCCGGATGGCTGTGACTATTTAAGAAGCGATTCCGTCTTTGGTGTTAAGAAATCCTTGGTAGTGGTATGTCTGGCTTCCTGAGTTTCTTTGAGGCCACTTGGTTTGACACACCTCTTTACAGAACTTGAAGGATATTGTAGACGATGAGGAAGCTCGTAAACGTGGGTTTCCTCACGGCGACTCGTTCAAGCTATTGCAATATGACATTGTATTACTCACGGAAGAACAATCTACCGCGATGCGTGCTGGCATTGAGGAGGAACGCTACACGATTACCGAGATCATAAAAAGCACTAAATCATAATGGACTTCATCATGATACTGCATTATCATTATGTATTTTGGATATTCCTATGTATCTTAGTCATGTTATTTGCTGTTTTTCGGAACGCCCCGTGTGACGTGGAATGCAAAGTGGACAATGATGTCGATGAGGACCTTCCCAAACACTAAAAGCATGTAACTAGCCCGATATATAATAGCATACATTCACTATGTACAGGTACTTGACGCAAACACAGGTCACGCCATCTCAACATCATCTACAGTGGCTGCTTTCTTGACTGCAACACCTTTGTCATCAGCCATGAAAATGTCGAGCTCTTGATCAAGCTGCTCAGCCGTGGGAGTTTTGGATCGCGTAGGCTTTGGAGCCTTTGTCTTCGATGACGAGGCAACTTTTGCGGATCGTGGTTGGCGTGTGCGAGTCAGGCTAGCACTGAGAACGCAAGAATGTGATTAGAGCAGTGCTAAAGGTGTGTTTCACTCCTTACCCTCCTTGCTGTTTCGGTGCAGCACTACCACTCAAGCGCTCTGCCAATGAAGGTCGTTCAATCCTACTCAAGAGCGAGGATGTTCGTAATGGCGCGGTGTCGAACGCGATTTCCATAGGTTGTCCTACATAGTAAAGAAAAATCAGAACAAACGATTGAATTACGACATATGCAGGTCACACTGCAGACTCAAAACTATCGAATAACACTTACCTTTTGCAAGTTTACCATCGAACTGTCTCTTGGCACGCGTTGCTTGTAAGGGTGTCTCGAACGACACAACTGCCACACCAGATGAACGTCCACTGCGGTCGTACTTTAAAAATGAAAAGCGGGTTTCAGGTTCAGTTTCGTTGTCATCTTCAGTTATATGAGCCAGAAGCGAAAGCGATCCGAATCATCCACAAGCATTGTCCGGTCCATGCGAGCGAAATAAAAATCCGGGCAGGAGGTGATGAGGTGTTTTCGAATTCGGAATCATCGTACCCTGATCAAAGGCTCGCGAACGAGCGTGCCTATTTGTCCGAAAATGGACTAAAAAGGGATTTAAGGCGCTTTCTAGTCATGGACGGCATAGAATACCTACCACCAAGTCTTTAGGCGTGATCTCGTAGTGCAAGTTGGATACGATGAGCTTTGTGGTTGAACCGGTGTTGGCTGGTGCGTTTGCTTTTGCTGATTGAAGCGGAGCTCGGTCATGGACCCAATGGCCATCAGACCCTCGAGGACGCTGAGAGCATCAATGAATCAGACGACACACCTGCTACGATGTCAAAACTTACAGCATATGGCTTTCTCTGCCTTTCAGACCTAATGGGAGCCATTATAAGATACTTGAACGTCAAGTAATTAGTTCAATAGATGAAAGCAGAGAAGGTTGTTCAAGTCAAAGAAATATTATACTCCACAAGGTAATAAGCGGTGTTTGAATGCGGCAGTTTCCGGACGCAGCCCCTGAGTCCCGAACATGGTCGTCGTGAAAGTACAAGCAGTACTGTCAGTGAGAGCCTGTAAATTGAGATGCACTACTATTGATAGTCTAATCTTCTCGCCGATCGTCGGTCAAGAAAATGACCAGGGTTTCACCGGCATGCGAGAGAGTCACAACACCGCAAAAGCAGATTCTATTCGCAAGTACACTTTACTGCTCGCAAAAACTACCGACAAGATTGGTACCAAAAAACCACGTTATATCGAACGAATACGACAGTTCCAAACTACAACATAAACGGTCATCCATTGCCTATATTTAGTCAGTGTAGTCAGAAGTTGTGCCAGAGCACAGAGTAAGAGTGATATCGGTGTTGCCGCAAGTATAAACGACAAAGTCAGCAGGAGTATAGCCACCTGAACGATAATTATCAGTCCGCTATACCGATGGCAGTAAGATGGAAACACATACCCGAGCCGTCATTATCAGGGAATGCATAGGCATTATAACAAGTGTCATAGTAGAAAGCGCTGTTGGGGCCAGGACCCGCGTTGTCAACGCAGCCTCCTCCACTAGCGGGAAGGGCGCCACCGCTGCATGCGCTCACAGAGGAGCAGCACGGGGAGTAGCACGTGTCGGTTCCAGGTCCAGGAACGGGCTGAAACAATATGAACATGCATGATCTCAATACGGATAGATTACTCACGCAGCCAGATGAGATCGTGCAAGCGAAATTGTCGCAGCTCGAATCACCGGAGGAAATCTCCATTCCAACGTTATATCCATAGATGAGCGAGATATCATATGTCACGCTTCCGGCGATTGAGTACTGCATTTTGAAGTCAGAAGTTATTTCAATGCCTGCGACCGGGACCCACAAAGTTGAATTCGGCTCTGCTAAAGGGAGTGACACCGTCCCAGGTAGGGCCACCAGTAGTACACGAAGAACCGTCGCTGTTGCATCCAGTACCTAGTAGTGCGGTCAGTGATAAGCTGAGGAGGGGAGCTACACACTTACCGACGTTGATAGCGCCGTCCCAGTCGGAGCTAATGCCTAGGTTTGCACTCTGGCCTGCAGCGACGGTGACATCGTTGTCGATACTACCATAGCTGGTGCCCGTGTTCAAGAAAACAGATTCGGTGCAAGAGTTGACAACGGTGAGAGACTGGGCTTGAGCCACGGTCACGATAGCGGCTAGAATTAAAGCAGAGAGAGTACGTCATTGCAAGTAATGATTAGACGACTTAGAAATGGGAGACGATAATACCTGTTTAAACACCTTATGGATCCCTTTATACCAGAAGTCTTGGGCTGTGAGCGCGTTAGCGTTTTATTGGAAGTGTATACCAAAAATGAAGCCACAGGATCTTGTCACAAACAGTGCGAATTGGCAAGCAGCAGTATGCTGCGAGATGGCCATGGTCATCAATCTTTGACCGGAAACCCTGATTTGGAACAGTAAGAATTGGTGGAAGATGCGGTGATAGCTAAACATTGCACGAAGGGTGCTAAAAGAGGGATAAATTCAAAACAAGTACTGCGCTCAAACGTACAAACAGCAAAATAATCCTTCTATCAGTGCATGACAAGGACTGATGAGGTCACGAAACTATTTCTGATTCGGTGAAATGGACTTGTTCCGAGGCTCACTTGCGGTTGTCACGCACATGAAAGGCTGTAGCACGTTGTGATCAAGCTTGGGTTGGCCACCAGCGAAATTAAATCCAACAGGTAATGAACTATAACATTAAGTTGATCAGGATCAGGGTAGGTTGACGGTCCCGCAATCTACTTGGCTTGTGCTGCAGCTTTCGCGTTGTATACCGGGGTTTAAAATATAAACATCATAATATTGTTTTCAACTCCGCGGCGTATGGTATGCTACACACTTCAAGGTCCAATATTCAAGGTCACACAAATCCCCGTTTCCTACAGACGAGCAGAGTTTCGTGTATGCTTATGGATGCTATGTTGTCCAAACGCCACACCGGGCCTCACGCGCACGATCCGAAGTATCCTAGTTTTCTGTTGTCGTTTCATCTGCATCATGATATCAGAGCCATGACTATTTTTGCGAAGTGGCTTCTATAGCTTACGGTATGTATCACAACGAACGCCCATGAACCGCTGGCAGCTCTATGATACATCGGAGTTTTGTCAGTACTTCGGTATTCTTGGTACGAGCACCCCGCTGCGTATCGATGGTAGCCTTGCTACTGGCACTGCTACTAGCAATGCTACTACGACTGGCCACTGCATCATCATCCCTGGCTCCATACCTCTGCACACCCATTGTGACAGGTTGCGACGCGAAGAAAGATTGATATTTTTATTGCTGTGTCCCTATAGCATGGAAGCCCATCACTGGACTAGGTTCATGGGGTTGATTTTGAATCTTCTTGATGCAGTTCTCCAATAGCTCTTTACTCGCATACGAGTCCTATGCGTCGGCATTTTCGTACGTCGTATTCACACAAAGTTGAATCTTAATACGAGCGTCTACAAGTTTCATCATTCTGTAACCCCACATCCTAGATTTCACTGACCCGATCTGTCACACTTTCGGAAAACAGGGGTTCACCGTGTTCGTCATCATAGTCATTGGGAAATGCATAGTCGCCGACCCGCTGTGCAGTCCAGGCACGGGAAGTGAGTCTCTGTCGCAGAACGTAGCCTATGCTGCCCTACTGGCTACTGGCTACCCATCGCAGCCGATGACACAGACTGTTAGGTCATACTGATACAGTCGGTACTACTTTGTCGCATAGAATGACTGTTACTGCGCTCCCATAGAACGTTTCTATGCAGAATTGGTGAAAATAGACTGTTCAGATCATCCCCCAGAGCTGGTTGCATTTTCTGGGTAGAGTTGTTCTTCAGATCCAGACATGTCTGCAGTCCGATCAACGGATTCACAATCCTCTTTGCCGTGCCGCCGCAGGGAGCACTACATCTGCAAGCCCAAGATACTAAAATGATTTCGAGGCGTGTATTGTGAAGGGATATCTTAATCAAGTTGATGCGAAGGACGGTCAGATCTTACCAGCCATACCTATGTTGGTGGGACCTCAAACACCATCAGACATGCTAGCTTCAGCTTCTATCTTCCAAGCGTCCGTTATAGGATTTCTCTGACGTATATGTAAAATTGCGTACGTGGTCTCTACTGACAATGTCATCGGCAACAAACGGATGGGTTTATTTTAATGGATCAAAGCCCGAGTCGTATTTGAATCAGGCATCTCACGACCACCGAGAGAAGCGGGGTTCTTCGCGTACTGCCGTTGCGAACTTGCTTTAGTCTGGTGGCACTAAATGCAGCTTCTTAACTTAGCTGAAGACGCACTGCGCGGCAAGTGGCATATCATCAGGTAGTCATCGTGATATCTTCCCTGATATTCCATAGCATCGTATGAAAATGATTGGGGCTTATGTGTTGACTTCAAACTTAAATGATGACATTATGTGCAGTGGGCTCCGACGACAAGGACCATACCTTTCACAAATCAGGTTTTTGTGTTACCCCATTGTCCAGTTGCATATGTCCAATGGTGCGCTTCACCAGTAGTCATACAGGAGTAGACTCGACCCTTGATATTTTCAGCTCGTTAAAGCGAGATAGCGATGTCTAGGTAGAAATTTCAACCACCGTGTCGTTGCAAGTGGTACTTGCTTTGATTTCTTCGCTGCTAGTTCTTGGATGCCACCAGGCCTGGAGAGTTCCTCCCCCTCGTCCCAGATGTCACGGTCTATGTCTTGCTTCAATCATGCCTCGTCGATATGATCAGGGCACTCGTCCGATCTGAAGCCATAGCAGGTTGTGCTTTGCGCCTTGAAGATATAGTGGTCAGCCATAGGTTAGTTGAGAATCATGGTTCATGGCAATCACTCACCGGCCCTAGCCAAGTGTCTTCCGATATTCGACATGAGAAATATTCCGACCCGAAAAATGACTCTACTCATGGAACACACGTGATACCGCCGGTACGGTATCACATCGTAATGCTGTGCGGCGGACTAGCTCGGCAATGCCCGACGTTGGGTGAGTAAGACGCTGAAGCTTGAACTAAACCTGGCGGGCCGGAGTGGAGCCGTCATGATCGAGTCGACAGAGAATTTTCCTGGGAGACCTGTACCCTAGAAGAGGGTACAGGAACTAAACCTTTCAGAGAATTTAGTCTTTAAAACCCTCCCAATAGAGTATCAGTCGGTGACAATGAGTGGCCTCCGATATGTTGTCAGTTCCATGGTTTCTGCGACAGCGGCCAGAAACTTCAGTGATGGCAGTGTACTGCCACAACAACTTTTAAGGGACAACGACGAACCAAACAAGATCGGCATCATGCGCATTGCGCACATGGGTGCCCAGCGAAAGCCGGTGATAGGACTCAAGCTGATAGGCTGTCGCGCGCAACGATTACCGTTGTCAAGTTGAGAAGAATGAATTACATGCTTTACCTCACTTAATACAGCACAGGACAAAAGGACCTCGACGATCATGTCACTTGGCGAGCATATTTCCATTGGTTATTCACGAGTCGCAGGAAGAAGACGTCCACAACGCCGGCGGCCTGCCTGAGAGAGGTATGAGCTGCAACTCGCTAATGGTGACTGATTTCAACCTCCTGTTCGAGCCTTATTTGCCTCGATCGAGGTATGTCCTTACGTTACGTTGTTCGTACTTACAATTTTTTTCTCATGGTGTGACGGCAGCCGAATCAGTAATCCGGAACGGCATCATTCCTGGGGCGATTTGTGTATGCGAAGCGATTTGAAGACGCAAGTGCTCCACCTTATGTATAAAGTTTCCAACAGTGTCTAAGGTTGCTTTGCACAAGCTTTCCCACCTTCTGACCCAATCCCCATTGTGGGAGCACCATGGATGTAGAAAAAAATTTGCCTTACGCCTCCATTGAGCACTCTACTCAGCTCCAAGCCCAGCAACGGCAGCCTTCGCCTTCATCACTAGGATTTGCAGACAGCGGAGGCCGTCCACAGACTCAGTCATCGGCGACTGAGAAGCCCCTACTTGGCAGCGACAGTTCACGGGGACATTCACCGGGTCGTGATCGCAATGATCCATACACGGATTTTGAGCCCGTCCCTCAGGCTCCCCCAGCTACGAGAAGCCGGGACGGTCATCTGATGCGTGGAATGTCGCGGCGCACAGGCCAGGCTCCTGTCAGTGCTTCTGGCCTTGGCTGGATATTGCCCGTCGAGGAGAAACCTCACGTTTGTGTTGCTCCCCCTGTTTACTTTGCATTGATCCTTAGCCTGACCCTACAGCGACGAACCATTGGAGAGCGACTCGATCCAAGTATTCTCAACGCGGAGAGAGAGAGGGCACAATATGCCACAAAAGGTTAGTCAAATTATCAAATATCAGCCTCTTCTACTCGGTATGCGAGCATGATGCTGAGGTTCCTTGTTCCTGGAAATGTTCTGATTGCGTTCCTTTTAAAGCAAAAATAACAGGCTACGCGTTGAACATCGCGATAGGTTTACAGGTTTTACTTGGGGCACTTACTACGGGTCTTGCGGCGGCATTAACTGGTAAGCAGGTCAGCTTGAGAGTACATGCATACGATTTTACGATAAACTAACTCTCGTGCAATTTCAGGTTTCTATCGCTACCACTCTTCTTGGTGTGTATCCATGTCCCCTGCATTTGAAGATTTCCTGAAGACCACGTCCCAGGTGGCATGTCGACATTAGTTGCTTCCTACCTCGCTCGGACAAGGGGATCAAATGAACCAGAATTATCCATCACTCGCGTAAAGGACCTAGATCAATTTTTAAGGGACTGCCGGTCCTTCAAAATGGACCACGGACATGAATATGGAACAGCTGAAAACGGGCTGAATGATCATCTCGAGCATCTCAGAAAAAGGTTCGAAGAACTTCTTGGAAATGCTGATGGGTAGGTCATCTCAAGCCTGCTCTGCTATGCTATGTTGAAACTTGACGACTTATTTTAGGCAGCGGAAGCTTTCCCCGTCCTTCTAGTAATTCGTCTACAAGCCGATATGTAGACCTCTGAAATAGTATCTAACGTCACTTTGCCGTCCCGAAACATTCACTACAGATGGCGATTCTTGCTGGCATCCAAAGCCTTCCTTCATACTTATCCACCATATCGGAGAGGTGGCTAACTCCCCGAAAATGTAAGCAATGGTCCGAACAGCTTCTACAGCGCGTCACACCACCGCCCTGCAGAATGCGTCATTGAAAATGCTAACATCACCCTGAGAGATAGCAGGTGGTCAGAAAAGCAATATTTCTATCAAGGCGAGTCGAGTGCCCACCTTGCGATGATTATAACTAAGATATAGAACAGAAATGCGACCTGGACAGTGACGCGTTCACAAAAACCTCAATCCTAAGGCTACCATGGGACCATTATGGTACACAGGGATAGGGTGCGTATTAGATCCTTCTTGCATTTGCTTGGACACGAGGAATGTGAGCTTCGCCGTCACTGCTAGCTTTAAGGTTGTGGCCGTTATGTTGACACACCAGGACGGCTGTCTGGCATCCCTCTACTGGTCATGTGTATAGGTTAATTCACGTTGGGAGGTAGTAGTCATTCCCTGACGAAATCATCGGACAAGCTGCAATGATGATAGGCAACCTGTTGTGAAGGCCAAATAGGTCGTCCAGCGCAGTCATATCCATGCTGTGTCTCCCAAGGTCGAGAATGTGCTGAGGTTTAGCGACTTGAGTGTGAAACCTCATCAACTGCTCGTGTTCATCAGAAAACCAGGGGGCACCTGTACAATACTGTACAAGATTGTACAGCGTTGCACAGATTAGTGACTTATACCGTACCGTTGAAGATACTAACCCTACTCTTATGGTTACAGTGGCCAGCCACCCTCCCCCGCTAATACTGCTGGCGGTGGTGATGGAAGAGCAACGAGAGGTATTGCGGAAAGTTTTTGTGTTGGGGAGTACTCCCATTCTATGTCGCAGGGATCTTTGAGTGTTCCATCCGCGGTGACCGCACACTGGTCATCCATAGTGCAAATTCAGGATGCTTAACTCTAGTATTCACCACTCAGCGCTCAGCATTAACTATCCCCAGGTGTATCAGCCACAAGCGGTCCTGATCAGTGATATATTACAACTGTACAGTACCTACCACCGAATGTCTTTCTACTTTTTTAACAAGATCTACAGCGCTTCGGTCACGGTTCGAACGAGTCCGCATACGGTTCAAATTCTATTATTCCCCGAACCTCGACCCTAACCACCTCTGGACCCTCCCGAACCTAACTGTTACTAGACCCAACCGTGGTGAGCTAACCTCTGAGGTTCGAGGCTCATGACTGGTTCTGTGGGTTCAGAACCGGACGGTGGCAACTTTAATTGTGGGAGTCGGGAATGTTATAATTTGGATTTGCATAGCATCCATGCATGGGTATGTACCAACAACTTGAATCTTTCGCAGTGTGGCTAGCTTATAATTATAGATATTTAGCAGGAGCAGAATTACATACTTCTATAGTTCTCACGACTACAACAATGAATTCACTGATCGGGGCCTGAGCAACTCCGGTGCCTGCTTCAAGTTGCATCCCACCCTGTGCCAACACTCGGTCCAACATAACCTAGATTGTGGCAGAAACTCTCGAGCCAGATTAAGCTGGAATGCCTGAGGTGTGACATATGGTATCAAAGGTGCCAACTTGGATGCAATAAGGACGCGGACAATGTCTCAAAAGAAGGGACTGGTAAGTTAGCATGTTTACGTATCGTCAACAACCTAGGCCCGAGCTAGGCCCAGGCCAGGCCAAAGCCCTCTGAAGTCATGGCTTTCAGGCCAAGCCAAGCACGGCACATCACTATCACCGACTCAGCGAAAGCTGGTGACAGGGCTCAGGCTGCCAGCCTGTGTGACAGGTTGTCGCGCGTAACAGTTGCCGTTGAGAAGGACGAAGTAAGTACCTGATGCTTTACCTCACTTACAGGAGAGGAAGATCTCCACTCGGACGAGTCGTAGGAAGACGTCGTCGACAATGCCTGCCTCAGAACGAAAATCGAGGTATGAGTTAGCAAATGCTCGTTGTTGTAACCGATTTCAAGCGTTTCAAACTGTTCGAGCATGGTCACTTGTCTCGATCGAGGTATGTCCTTACGTTACGCTGTTCGTACCTACAATGCTTTCTCATGGTGTGGCAGCAGCAGAACGGATCATTCCCGGGGCGATCTGTGTATGCGAAGCGACATGTAAGATGCGGGAATACTTACTTTATGTATAAATTTTCCAATGGGACTCAAGGTTGCCTCGCACAAGCTTTTCCACCTCCTGACCAAATCCACATTGTGGGAGCACCATGGATCCCGAACAAACCTTGCCATATACCCCCGGGCCCATTGAGCACTCCACTCAGATTCAAGTCCAGCAACGGCAGCCTTCTCCATCGTCACTGGGATTTACAGACAACGGAGGTCGTCCACAGACCCAGTCATCGGGGACTGAGAAGCCCCTACTTGGCAATGACAGTTCACAGGGACAGTCACCGGCTCGTGATCACAATGATCTATATGCGGATTTTGAGCCCGTTCCTCGGGCTCCTCGAGCTACGAGAAGCCGGGACGGTCATATGTTGCGTGGACTGTCGCGGCACACAGTTGTGTCAGGCCATGCTCCTGCCAACGCTTCTGACCTTGGCTGGATAGTGCCCGTCGAGGAGGAACCTCGTATGAAGATGAACTCTCATATCGAGGAGAAGAAAAAGAAAAAGAAAATCTCCTCCTGATGACGAGGAGCCTCAACCTTGGGTTTGTGTTGCTCCCCCTTTTCACTTGGCATGATCCTTAGTCTGACCCCACAACGACAGAACATAAAAAGGCGACTTGAACCAACTATTGAAGGACGCGGAGTGGGAGAGGACAAAAGGTTAGTCAAATCGTCAAATATTAGCCTCTTCTGCTCGGTATGCGAGCATGATGCTGAGGTTCTTCGTTTCTGGGAATGTTCTGATGGCGTTCCTTTTGAAGCAAAATGGACAGGCTACCTGTTGAACATTGCGACAGGTTTACAAATTTTGCTCGGGGCGCTTACCACGGGTCTTGCGGCGTCATTATCTGGTAGGCAGGTCAGTTTGAGAGTGCATGCATATGATTTTACGATAGACTGACTCTCATGCAATTCCAGGTTTCGATCGCTATCACCATTCTTGGTGCGTATCCATGTCCCCTACATTCAAAGCTTTCCTGAAAATTACGCCCCAGGTGTCATGTCGACCATAACGGCTTCTCTCCTCACTCGGGCAAGGGGATTAAACGAACCAGAATTATCCAACACTCGCGTAACGAACCTAGAACATTTTTTAAGAGACTGCGATGCGTTCCAAACGGACTGTGGAGAAGAATATGGAACAACTGAAAATGGGCTGAATGATCGGCTCGAGCGTCTCAGAAAAGAGTTCGAAAAAATTCTTCGAGATACCGATGGGTATGTCATCTCACGCTCGCTCTACTATGCTATGTGGAAACTTGACGACCTATTCTAGGCAGCAGAACCCCCCCACGCCTATTCAAGTTAGGGCGGGTGACCAAAGGTCCGCAAAACTTCCTGGAAATGCTGATGGGTAGGTCATCTCACACTCGCTCTACTACGTTGTATTGAAACTTGACGACCTATTCTAGGCAGCAGAACCTTTCCCTGCCTATTAAGGCGGGTGACGAAATATTCGAAAAATTTGTTGGAAATGCTGATGGGTAGGTCATTTCACACTCGCTCTACTATGCTATGTCGAAACTTGACGACCTATTTTAGGCAGCAGAAGTTTTCCCTGCCTATTAAGGCGGCTAGGTGACCAGACTACAATGTTATGATATGCGCAACCGTCCTTCTAGTAATTCGTCTACAAGCCGACGTGTATACCCCTCTAATTTAATAGTATCTAACGTCATTCTTGCTGGCTTACGAAGCCTTTACGCTTATCCACTGTATCGGAGAGGTAGCTAATTCCCCGAAAATGTAAGTAATGGTCCCAACAGCCTCTGCAGTGCGTCACAGCGCCACCCTGCAGAACTCATCATTGAAAATGCTGAAATCACCCTGAGAGATGGCAGGTGTCTAATCAGACAGAAAGATCAATATTTCTGTCAAGGCGAGTCGAGCACTCACCTTGCGATGATTATAAGTAAGACAGAACAAAAACGCCCCTGCTAATCAGTAGACGCGACCGTTAATTATGGCACAGGGGTCAGGTGTGCGTTAGATCCTTCTTGCTTCTGTTTGTACATGAGGAATGTGAGCTTCGCTGTCACTACTAGCTTCAAGGTTGTGGCCCTTATGTCGACACACACTGACGACCGTCTGGCATCCCTCCCACCGGTCATGTGTATATAAGCTCGATTCACATTAGGAGGTGACAGTCCCGCACTACGGGAAGCGGACAAGCTGCAACCATGGTAGGCAGCATGTTCTGAAGGCCAAATAGGCCGCTCAGCGCGGTCACATACATGCCGCATCTGTGGCTATCGCGATGAGACTCCAAGACTGAGAAGTTGGTGAGTGCGAAACATCAGTCAGCCGCTTATGTTGCACATCCTTTGAATAGATAGTTACCCAGATTCCGGGGTCCTTGCCATTGCGATGATGGAAATGTTGGTGGTAAGGAGAATATCGCCCTAGGTGCAGCTGGTTGTATTAGTGCTGCCGCGGTCCGGTTCCGAACCGTGGTTCGAACCTGACCAATGGTCAGGTTCGTCCATGGTTCGGTCCACGGTTTCCCATTTTGGACGGACCGAACCGAAATGAGGTTCACGGTCCGTGGTTCCTGGGACGGTTCGAACATGGGTTCGGACCTTCCCGAACCGTTCCGAACCCCGAACCTGAAGCTTCCTCGACTGTGACATATCGGCGAGGCTGGTCACTCATCTTCCCCACTCATGGGCACGACTTCTGGGATCCTCGACATCTTTAAGTTTCGATTCTGTCTGGAGACCCGCATCTTGTGCTCCCGGTTGTCCAATCAAGTTCAAGGTACCAATTAACCATCAATTAAGCTCAATAAACTGACTGATATATTACTCTGATATATTTTGTAGGATCCTCCAATGCACATGGCGGAGACTGGCTGGTAGTTCTGTCCACACATAAAAGGAGCAATCTCTACCAGGTGAGTGATATTTTCCTCTCATAATGTCTGGATCTGATGCTTGTGCCCTCAATGCTGACGGTTCTCTTAAGGATGCCAAGGATATTGTATTTTACAATGATCCTGATCTAATATAGTTTAAGTTCTTGATCCGAACTATAAGCTCGCGTATATTGAAGGTCGGTGGCATGCTCAAGATGTCGCAGCTGGCAGGGCTCACTTGGAGGCTGTGGTAAGTACTCGTCTACACTGTTTGTTCCCCCTTTGATCTCATTTTACAGTTCGATAAATATTATACACCGCCGAGTCAGGAAGCTACTGAAGATCAATCTGCTCCGCCAACGAAACCTGCACGCAAGCAGTATGGTGATGATTGGATGTGTGAGGCTATCAGGACATGTCAATCAAGGGACCATCTCACTCACAATCCTCGGCAAGAGCTCACCGCTTACTTGTCTTCGGCGCTGGAGTACACTGATAACATTGTTGTCTGGTGGGGGGTAAGTCCATTTTTTGACTCATTTGTTCACTACTTAACCGTTTCTTAGCTTCACTCGCTGCAATACCCTACACTTGCACGCATCGCACGCGACTACTTACCCATTCAAGGCAGCGCTGTTCCCTCTGAACAAGCATTCTCAAGCGGAGGAATCACTTCGACTGTGCGACGCAATGCACTTGCAACCTCCACATTCAGCGCATTCAATACAACTGTTGAAGGGAGCATACAGGAATGGGCACCTTTCTGCTGCAGTAGAGGCTGAGGGACATGCAGCTTCGTTGGATATGTAGCTACCAGTACAAGTATTTCGACTTTGTTTTTTTTTTGCTGGCTATAAGAAACATTGGGTCCGGTTCGCGTTCGAACCGAGAAAAAAACCGAACCTGACCGCTGCGAACCGTCCGCAAAGGTTCGGTCCAAGGTTCGTCGATAAAGGTAGAACCGGACCAAGGTCCGGTTCTCGGTTCTTGTCCAACTGCCTCTGAACCTGACCGAACCGGACCGCGGCAGCACTAGGTTGTATACCTGATCACGGACACAATACATGTGTTTCTGCAACGATTCCGAGTCTAGAGAATGTCATCGCGCAGTGAAGGGAAAGACTCGGACCTCGGACCAAGCAGCCAAACATCAAGGTAGCAAGAGACTCTCAAACACAAAATCAAGGCGGCCCTGCAGGGAACCAAGGAGGAACTCCAGTACCGATTCTGTAGTTAATCGTTTGAGACTTAAGCTACAACTTGCAGTAGAAGTCCCAAGCTTTACGTGGACGCATCGACCGGTATTGCTAGACTGCAACTCAGCTTGTATACTTGGCGAGACGGGGCGTCAGGAACTTGGGCGGCGGCCTGCCTCTGCGCAGCGCTCCGTCGACTTTGACATAGCCTATGATAGGTTTCCTATGTCTTGGAAGTAAAAGGTAGCACAAATATTGGATGAATGAACAACATATTGCCAGAGGGTCATGGAATTCACAAAAGCGCAGCGTTCACTGATCCATCGTGTCCCTTTACATTTCTTCAATTCGTCACTTCCGGATAACTGGATTCAACGCTCTGGTCATAGACAGTTGTCGACATGTATGGTATGCAGAACGAAGGGGCTCGAACAGTCGGCAACAAGTAAGGGTAGACATACGGTATCGGATGGGAGGATCGTGAAGTACTAAAAGAAAAGAAAAGGGCGAAACCGTCCATGAATGCAAATCGTCCGTTATCGAGTACAAAACCAAAACGAGTCCCTGAAAGCGGTGTATGTGTACAGTAATTTTGAAGGTCCGTGATAATAACCTAAGCCAACGATATGCATGCCACCTTCCGCTGACATGAAGTTGAAGGCTGGTCATTTACTCGGTCGTAACTGACTTGGCTCTGCAGGACGAAGTGAGCGTTGAACGCCAAGTTACTACCACTCAAAAACTCACAAGTTGCGTGGGAAGTCGACGTCAAACCCGTTCTTGATGGCCAAGTGGTAGCTCAACAACTGCAAGGGAATGATGTTCAAGAGACCTTGCAAGCAGTCTACAGTGGGAGGAACGCGGATGGTTTTCACCCCAGCCTTGATTCCGGTATCACCCTCGTTGCAGACAACAATGGGATGAGCCTTGCGAGCGGTTATCTGTTCGAATGCGGACTGGACCTTCGGATATAGTGAATCCTGGGTCATGATGATGATGACCGGCATGTTCTCGTCGATCAACGCCAAGGGACCGTGCTTAAGCTCTCCTGCAAGAATACCCTCCGAATGCATATAGCTAATCTCTTTGATCTTGAGAGCGCCCTCAAGGCAAGTGGCATGCCTGAAAGAGATCGTCGATCAATCATACGGTTTGGATCGTGAACGAGAGCTACTGACTGATATCCACGACCCATCAGCAACAAGCTGCGTGAGTTTGCAAGGAGGCTATTGGCAAGCTCTCGCAAGCTCTTGTCATTTTCGAGAACACTCTTGATTTGCGCAGGGCAGAGCACGAAGGCCATCGATGATCTGGTTGCGGCGTTCAGTGAAGGAGATCCGATCCTCTGATAGCTGCAGCGCCATCAACATCAGTGCGATGTACTGGGAGGTATATGCCTACAAGACGCTCGTATCAGATGGTTAACAGATTGGAAAAGGTTTCCATACCTTGGTAGACGCAACGCCAACCTCAGGGCCAGCATTGATGTGAATACCACAGTGTGTTTCACGCGAGATCGTTGAACCGACAGTATTGACAACCCCCACACAAAGGGCGCCACGCTCCAAGCAGTATCGCAATGCCAGGATGGTGTCAGCAGTCTCTCCACTCTGGCTGACAAAGACACAGATGTCGTCGCGGAAGATGGGAGTCTTCCTGTCCAGGAAGTCGGATGCGAGTTCCACACTAACGGGGATTTCGGTCAGCTCCTCGAAGATCGCACGAGTTGCCAACGCAGAGTGATAGCTCGTTCCGCAAGCGCAGAATACAATACGGCGACCGCGGCGCATGATGTGCAGATAGGCACGCAGCCCACCGAGTGTGATCTTATAGTCATCGAAATTCACGCGTCCACGCATCGTGTTGACGACGGATTCAGGCTGTTCGTAAATCTCTTTCTGCATGAAGTGATCAAACTTGCCCTTCATGATCTCGGCAATTTCAATCTCGAGTGTCTCGATGTTGCGAATGGCAGGTGTCTCGGCCGTGGTAGACTCATCCCGGCGCAGACGGTGAATGTGCAGTTGACCCTCAGCGATGTGAGCAATGTCATCATCTTCCAAGTAGAGCACACGCTTGGTGTGCTCCACAATGGCGGAAGCATCAGAGGCGATAAAGAATTCGATGGGTTGGGGCATGCCATCCTCGGACATGAAGTTGCGGGACCGACGACGAGACATCTTGGGTAACGATGGAGGCGCCAATCGAGAAGTAGGGGAAGTGGGAACAGCAACTAGAAGAGCATTTAGCGAAGGCTAGATCGAGGGGCGAGGTAACTTACGGCTTTCCACGGCTTTGGTGTCAGCATCCGCTCCAGAAAACTCGACATCCACGAAGTCGACTTTGAGTTTCTTGTCAGTCTTAACACCAATCAGGAGAGGTGAACCGCGACGGGCAGTCACGATCTCATTCGGGAAGTGGATGGACTTGAAGACCAAGGCGAAAGAACCCTCAAGCTCTTTCAGGACGGTCTTCACAAGAGCTGTGAAGGTCATGCGTTTGTCAGGCCGAGAGTCGTATACATATTTCGTTAGTTTGGCGACCGCCTCCGTATCAGTTTCAGATTCGAATTTGAAGCCACGCTTCTGCAGGACTTGCCGAAGAGCTGTAGCGTTGGTCACGATACCGTTGTGTACAACAATGAACTCGTTGTTCACATCAGAGCGAAGGGGATGGCAATTGAGAACGGAGGGGGGACCATGTGTTGCCCAACGAGTATGAGCAATGGAGACCTGGGATATCATCGACTTGGTCGTGTCGATGCTGGACTCCGCAATACGTTGCCGCAAGCCGGCAACCTTGCCAACCTCCTTGAAAAAAACAATTTCGCCTGACTTGTCGCCATCGATACCAAGACCAGCAGAATCATAGCCACGGTACTCTTGACGAGCTAGACCTGTGCAAAGAATCTCCAGGATTTCCTTGCGGTCCTGTAATAGGTGAAGTTAGCTAATGTAATATCAGGGAACACGCGACGACATCAAGAAGCAAGGTGTAGGTAAAGTTACTAAATATGGACATCCAATTATAACAGTGATGAGATGAGATTTCGGTCGCAAGGCTCGACATTACGCGCGGAGTTGTAGATGCAAGAGAATGAACGCGCAGCCACGATGGCGACCCAGAAATAGCTTGTATCGGAACACAACTTACCTTTTCTTTCAAGAAGTTGCAGTAGCCAAAGATGCCGCACATGTTGATTCAAGAGTAAACAGGTATCTATATGCGCGCAATAACGCGATGATCAGCTCGTCAACACCACAGATAGCTAGCTCAAACAAACCTAATGTATACAAGGGCTGGTGTGGAAAGGCGTTGTCAAGGTCGGTGAACAAGAACAAACCTTGAGGACGCGGTTTAAGTACTCTAATTCTGGGTTGAGGGTGCGACAAACAATACCAAATAAATCGGTTGTGGCGGACACAGCAAACACAATTAATGCCCATCGGTTCAAAAGAGCGCGCGATGGAGGCTGCGCAAAATGTACGTCCAAGTCTTCCGGGTTGAATACTCAAGCGACTTTGATCGAGGCACACACTGCAATCTTCATAACCGCCATCAACACTTATTTGTCGGTTCCGTGTGTATAACGTCTTATTCAAACCCATCACCATCCTCCCATCGCTTCTGAACTTCTGGTGCGTTCTCAACCAGACGCATAGCATTATAGGTTAGGTATTCCTTACAATTGACATCTTGTAATTAGGATCAAGTTTCCTGCGTGATTCATTGCCAGAGAACACCCCTGCCAAAAATAGAACATTCAAATTCAAATTCCCTACAACGGCGAGGTTGTTACAAGGGTATCATCTCACAGGTTACATCATTTTTGCTGCGCAGCAGATAAGAATATGTCCCTTCTTCCAGGCTAAACATATATCAAGTTCTATATTGCCACGCCAGTGCAACAACCCGAGTCCGTTCTGCAGGTGAGTATAGCGTGTCTGCTGGATATCGACTTATCAAGACTTGGATGCACCTACTAAGGCTCTAGGGTACTGTCCAATCTTATCAAAGAGGTGTCCTTGGAGCTTGTACCGCACAGCAATATTTGACGAATCGCCAAGATTGTAATGTGACAACCGCCTTTCCATTTACTAAACCCTGTAACTGACTGGTAAAGGGTTCCCTGAGCAGAAATACTCAAATCAAACGTCATGAACACAATGCCAGTCGAGTTACCTGATCTCCCTCCTCAAATTACGTCTCGGTACATCACCTTGAGTGACCGTGATGGGCTGAACGTCCATATCCTGGAAGCGTTTCCAGATACAAGCAATCAATCGAGCACACCCTGCCACTTGATCCTCCTTCTCCACGGCTTTCCAGAACTTGCTTACTCATGGCGCAAAGTCTTGGTGCCTATCGCCAACGCTCATCAAGGTTATCATGTTGTTCGCCCCTGACTTGCGTGGTTTTGGGCGAACAACGCTGACAAGATCCGGAAGCGCCAGCCAAGTGCAATACGAAGATGCGCTTTCCTCGTATCATATGCTCAATATCGTAGATGACGTTTGTTCCCTGGTACGAGCGCTCGGATATCCATCCGTTGCGATGCTCGTAGGGCATGACTTTGGGTCTCCTCTTGCGGGACACTTGCGCTTGTCCGCGCATCCGGAACTATTTGCATCAGTCGTGTTCATGAGCGCACCCTTTGGGGGCGTTGGTCCACCCTTGTCTCAAGCGAGTAGCGAAGGTGGAGATGATAAAGCGAAGGAACGGGTTTCTTTGGGTTCTGACATTGCCACTGCGCTTGCTGCGCTCCAACCTCCGCGCAAGCACTATACGGCATACTTTTCTACTCTTTCCGCCAATGCGGACATGCTTGGTCAAGGGGGAAAGGCTCTGTACGATTTTCTCGGCGGCTATATCTACATGAAGAGTGGCAATTGGGATGGAAATGATCCACACCCCCTACCCTCTGCATTTTCACCTTCGCCCAGCATCAGTGAGCTAGCAATGGACCTTGCTACTCTCCCAGAGTATTACGTCATGCCGCTGCACGAAAGCATGCCAGACGTCGTTGCTCGTCATGTTCGCATGGACGCCCGAATCAAATGGCCCACAGCTGACGAAGTCTCTGGGGGAGTATACGCTGCTGAATTCGGCCGCACTGGCTTTCAGGGTGGGCTTAATTATTATCGTAGCGCACTCTCGCCTCCGCCCCCTGAGCGGATAGCTCAACTACGTGCTCTAGCTGGGCGACGAGTGGAGGTGCCTGCGGCATTTATATCAGGAGCCAAGGATTGGGGAGTATATCAAACTCCAGGGGCTGTGAAAAAGATGCGAGAGGTGGTGTGTAGCGGCGCGGGAGGCATGCAGGACGAGGATTTCGTTTTGATCGAGGGCGCAGGCCATTGGGTGCAACAGGAAGCGCCAGAGATGGTGGTACGGGAGCTTGTGAGGTTTTTAGGAAAGGTAAAAGCTTTGTAAACGTCGCCGATGCAAATAATCCTAGGTTTGGGGCAACGAATGGGTGATGATCGCGATCGTGCTCTCCTTTCTTTTTTGACGCATTAAAAAGCCTGTCAGCGGGGGGTAAAAGTGGCTGTCAATGGAAGTGCTACGAGGAATGTGAGTTCAAGCTTTCATTCAAGTCTGGGGCGGTGTTCTGGATGTTCATGTCAGACATGGAGTCACGACTCACGGCCGAGCAGTCCGTAGCCACAGCACTCACAGAGACTCACAGCCACTCCACAGCCACAGCCAAACCCGAAAACCAACAATCTGGGCTTAAGCGACTTTTTTCACCGCTGTGGCGGCCATTCGGGTCTTCAGAAACCTTCAGTTGGGATCATCAGTGAATTAATGAGTCCTTGTTATTGTGGCTTTGACAATTATAGAATGATATAATTTTACTCCTGCCAAATATGGACATTTATATTTGAATAATTTTGCGTCATAGATACATAGGGCTTTGTAGTTAAGGCCATGTACGTTCTTAAGGATGGAGATAGAGGGGAAGGGATGGGAGATGAAATACTGTTGTTAGTAGGTTTCTAATGAGTAGAAAGTGACTGTATTTTGTGTGCACACTGTTTGTGTGATTGTGGGACGTGAGATGAGATCAGTATGATGAGTGAAGTGTCAAATTAGTGATTTACCACGAAAGCAAAGCTTTCATGGTGGTGGGGAGGGTCTGGCTCTGCCAGGCTGCGCTTGTGTGCATGGTCTGGGAGAAGCAGTCTGAGTCCGGGTTATTGGGGGTTGAGAAAAAGGTTTTTTGAGAGAACTGGACGCAGAGGGGACAGACCCTCAGAGCCTGTTGTGATTGAGTCTCGAGGTGTGGGATGGAGGGGACCGCAGAGAAGAAGAAGAGAAAACGAGACCAAACCATTCCTGGAGCATGGCTTGAATACGAGTCGAGTGTCTCTTTGAGACACCCAACCCAGACACAACATGAGACATGAGAGAAGGCATTGTAAAGATGCAATGTGCATATGATTGAATTGGTACAAGTCTAAGAGGGTACAGAGCGAAGACGACGAATATTCATGCATGTTGGATTGTAAGCACGTGAGAGCAATGGGAGCAGACGAAGCAGTAGCTGATAAATAGAGGAAGGATGGACTCAATCTGACACCAGTAGTCAAGGAATGCTCTCGATTTCCAATGGCCCTGCGTTGCTACAACATCAGGGTGAACACCTTCTAATAGAAGTTCCATGGCTCCAGCCGATACGGTGTGGTGTTCAAACTTTCTGTAGCCTTGCAGAGGCACTTTTCACTATGCATCTCTTATTGACACTTTCCTTAGATTAGGTTCGCACTTTTGCTGCTTACATAATCATCTTCCCTTTACCTAGGACTCTACAGTCATTACCTAGTTCCCTTGTTTCCAGTTCTTTGGTTGCTCCCCATTCACTTGGGTTATTTAGTAGCATCCCCTAGTTGTAGCTTTCCTAGTTGTAGCTCCCTCAGCTCACCAGATAGCTCCTGGAACATAGTTTTCTTACCTTGACTTGGAGTACCTTCTCCACTCTCTTTTCTTGAGCCTGAGCCTAGTCAGAGATCCTTTAGGGTCGAACGTTCTTGCTAGCAAGAGTAGCAGCTAGGAGAGCAGGAGACTCATATATATTGGTTTGGTGCTTTACCTACAGCCCAGCCATTTCTTGTCACCACAACGGAAAGCATGCCCAGGCATGACTGGATGACCTGCAGCTGACCAGATGGTGTTGATACGGTCCATGAACCAGGGTTTTGTCATAGGTGACCAAGCACCATCTGCTGTTTTGAAAGAGAATAATGGGGCATGAGAAGGTATGTTCATATTGACATCAAGATGTAAGAGAAGAGCGACGAGGGGGACATGTGGGGTGATCTTGAGCAGTGACACTGATGTCTGCACTGTTGGTGCCTGTAGTTTTTGTCCAAGGAATGTGGAAGGATAATCGACGTACATTGTGGAAATGATGCGTGGTAATAGGGAGAATGGAGTGAGAGATGTGCTTGATTGCATCAAATGTGTTTGGGCTGGGAATCAAGAGTTCACCGAGACTTAATGTAATGTTAGAGTGTGGTTGTAAGTGGAAGAGGACAAAGGTCCTACCGGTGTGGGTGTCACAACCTGGCTAGGCACTAGGAAATATAGTGCTCAACCAGTATAAGTGAGTCCAAGCTCTGCCTAGCTGCTATACTTGCAGAATGCAAGAATGTTCGACCCTAAAGGGGAAGCAAGGAAAGCAGGGGATGATCCAAGACATGCTGAATGTGCCTCTAAGGTAGCGCCTAAGCGTGGGAAAGCGCCAGAGCACGCAAAGCACTGGAGAAGCGGCTCTCAATGCAAGACAAAGTCTATTAGAAGTGGGATAATGATTGTGCTCTAAAGTGCGGCTCTATACTGGTGCTCAGTGGTAGTAGATGGGTTGTAGAAGGTAGTAGAAGAGTCTCTGTGTAATGCCTCCTCGGCTCAACACAAAGTGAACCACAGTGAGCTAAAGTGCTATGTAATAGCTACTTGGCCATGAGAAATGGTGCCATACAGTGTAGGTAATAATGTAAGGTACATGAAATAGTAAAAATAGCGAACTAATACATACCTGTGGGCTGGATGGACAGTGGATGGATGCTCCTGGATGATGGTGACACGGGGCGCTTAAGTGCGAGAAAGCGCGCAAGGTGCGCATGCGGAAATGCTGCGGCTGGTGCGGGAAAGTAGCGCGCGCCTTGCGGCTAGCGCGGGAAAGCGGGGCGCTCTATAGGGAATGACTAGGGATGATGTTGTGCAGTGATGGGATGAGACTGGTAATGGCTTGGTGACACGAAGCTGTGATATAGGCCATATGTGGCTGTAGGGGCACGAGCCTCTACACCGGCAGCAAGACCAGAAGGCCACACACGCGATAGTGAAGACTGTGACATCAAAGGAGTTTGACAGGTCAAGTCCTTGACCCAGCTGGATGAGTGCGTCTAGTGTGACAGGAGGACATTGTGCTTGTTTTGAATTGGGGGGTACCAGACATGTGAGACCACATTTCATATGGTGCAAGAGTGGAGAGTCAATGCCATGGCATTGGGTGCCATCGCTGATGTGCCAAAAATGTAGACCTGCGAGCCAATTGCTCATGGTACTGTCTGAGATAGAACCAGCAGATGCTGCAATGAAAGTGGAGAGTAAGGTAGCCGAGGCTGGCATGTGTTGCATTTCGGGAATGTGGAGTTTGTCGCAATACTGAGTGAAACTGGAGAAGCCCTGCACCGTAATTGCTGTGGGTGTTCTCGTTGAGTGACTGGGTAAGTATGAAGAACATTTTGAGGATATCAGACTCTGGAAAGAGTTGTTCTAACTCATGTTGATGGTCAAAACTGTGTGGAGTTGTCCAAAGAACTGTAGAGACTCGCATTTCTGCAGGCTGATATGGGCTCATATTACAAATTCTGACAACTGGCCTTCACTGCACGACTCGCACTATCATCACCTCTAGTCATTCCCTATAGAGCGCTGTCATGCATGGTATGGAACTCATACCATGACATTGATAGACAGGAAGTAGCTACAGAGAGTACCACTAAGGTGTACCTCATTGTATTATTATGATTGGTTCCATTTTGACAGATTTACTTGGATTTATATTTCCAGTATGATAGTTTTCACCTTTCCCCTTTTTTTTATGTGGTTTATTCAGCCACCAGTGAGCCACCAGATATGTTTGTAAGCATGTCATGTGATAGGCAATATTCTGCTTTGTAAGGATCCTGCATGATTTGTCATGTGGCTTCCATTTGTTTCCATTTGTTTCTATTTGTTTCAGGCTCATTCAGCCACAGAATCCTTCAGTGAGCCACCAGATATGTTTGTAAGCATGTCATGTGATAGGCAATAATCTGATTTGTAAGGATTTGTCATGCTTCGTCATGCTTCGTATGCTTCGTCATGCTTCGTCATGCTTCGTCATGCTTCGTCATGATTTATCATGCTTTGTAATATTATGAACTTTATTTGTAAACTACTTTGTAAGCAGCTGATTCAGCACTGCCAAATGGCATGGTTAGTAAGCCAGTGACTTACTAATGCTGTGATGAGTCATGCTTAGTAAAATGGCCTCCCAAAAAGGTATAAAAGGAGTCCATTCTACACTGAGTAATAATAACTTCCCACTTTTCACTCTTCTCTCAAACCATGAGAGTCGTAAGACTTAAAGTGCAGGCCAAGAGTGCCTTGAAGTAAGATAAACATCGTATCAGAGATTAGTTGTATACTACCTTACAGGGTGTCGCTTATATAACAATCTATTTATAAACTACTTGTTGTGTGCTACCTTTCAGGGGCTGAGTGTACAACACCAGAACAGCTTTCGTACTAGGCTTTACGTATTTAAGACAGACTTCATTTACTTGTTGTGTACTACCTTACAGGGGTTGAGTATACAACACCAGAACAGCTTTCTAACTAGGCTTCACGTATTTTAAGACAGACTCTCTCTTTTTCAGGAAGGGAGACACGAGAACACGACAAAGTTGAGACAGACTTTCATAGGTTGAGACATGACCTATGAGATTGAAACAGATCTTACTATCAGAACATTAGGGAATCTATGAGTAATTCCACCAGGGAACAACAAGAAGAGGACACATCAGTAAACCCTCCCAAGAACTTACACATTATCTACCACGAAAACTAGAAAAGTCGTAGACCGTGTACTTAAGGACTGGCAAGAAGTCTTATCCTGTATAGTTGTGTTGTCACTATACATGCTGAAGATGAGGAATCGTGAGTGGGTCTATACTGAAAAATATAAGATAAGTCGCCTGCAGTAGTCCTCGAACGCGAGTAGAAGTCGGCCCAAGAGGATCTTTACTGAGTCTTTTCCTCGAGTAAATGCGAGGGGATGCGCTGAACGAGTCAGCAAGGGAATCTGCGCAAAGCGCGGGTGCGAGACGCCTTGTAAACGCGAAACGCGCGTTAACGCGACGAAAGGCGAAAGTGTGATGTAGGCGGAACAAGCGCGCTATAGGGGGCAGTGAAGAGGCGGAAGTAGCGCGAAGGTCTCTCAAGATTTTCTCAAGAGAGCTTGTTGCAAAAGAATAGAGAGTCGCGCAGTGGTTGTGTTGCAATGAATAGAAATTGATTCACAGTATACACTGATGCAGGATGATGGGATGTAGTGAGTAAGTAAGTCAGTGAAAAATCTATCAGAGTCCCCATGTCTAAGGTAAATGTTCCCAGGCGCTGAGCCGAAGCGGAAGCGAAGTGAAAAAGAGTTGTTGTGTTGTAGAATAAGGAAATATGTGTAAACAGACGAGGTATATAGCGCGCGTTAGTGGAGACGAAGTGGAAATACGGCCTTTGTGAGGCTACTCGCAATGGAGTCTCTACAATGCGTTGTACATAAGACCCTTAAGTAGCAAGACACCGGGTTGAATACTCAAGCAATTTGATTGAGGCACACACTGCAATCTTCATAACTGCCATCAACACTTATTTGTCGATTCCGTGTGTATAATGTCTTATTCAAACCTCATCACCATCCTCTCATCACTTCTGAACTTCTGGTGTGTTCTCAACCAGATGCATAGCACTATAGGTTAGGTATTCCTTGCAATTGACATCTTGTAATTAGGATCAAGTTTCCTGCGTGATTCATTTCCAGAGAACACCCATGCCAAAAAAAGAACATTCAAATTCAAATTCCCTACAATGGTGAGATTGTTACAAGGGTATCATCTCACAGGTTACATCATTTTTGCTCACCTGTAGTTCCCACGAACCTGATCTAATTAGACGTGACAGCGAGGTGTGTTGACAGGTCTAAATCAACATGTTTTTGGTTGTTACCAGCCAAACAAATAAATACTGGATACCAAGGGGCCTTACACTACTGGTAGTGTAGAGTGATGTGAGTGCTGGTCACCTGTGTGTCATCATTAATAACACTGATTAGTAAAGGTGATGTGATGGGATCCTCCTTACTAAGTAGTAGGGATTATCTATGCTGCAGCACTTCAGCACGTCCTGCAGCACTCAGCAGTCCCCTTAGTAGAATAAAATATCTTTGGTAAATAGTGTCTTAAAACATATGTTATATAATCCGCCTATTTCTGAGTGGCCGAATTACCGAGAATAACTGGTGGCCGGTATCTGCCGATTTACACCCTGCCACCTCTCAATCATTTCCCACATCATCTCCACCGCCTTGCTCATCACCCTACACGACGAGCTCTATCAATGCACTCAGAACTTGCCCTTTTTCTCGTTTCTTTCGCCCATTGACGTTGATATGTCGACTTCTTCGTGGGTGAAGATGTCGGTCCTCAATTTGTCTCACTCCCTTCAAACAACTACGGCTTTGTTGATTCAAATACGGCGCGGATGGCTGGAGGACGAGGCAAGCAGACAATATAACAAGAAGAGGAACAGAGGTGGTCAACATAAACTCAAGGTGAATAGTGTTGTGCATTGCTGTCTTTGCCAGGCTTATGATACATTGTGTGCCCATCAATAGAGTTTTACTTGAGCCAGTACACAAATAGTGGTATCGCATTGTGACGATCGAAGATACCACAGCGGTGAGTCTAGTTACATATTCTAGTCCGAATCTGACGAGCTACTGTCAGAGTCATCATTCTCTTCCTCTGTGTCTATGTCTATGGTAGCATGGCTCGTTTTTGCTCCCTTCTGCTTCCTCATCACATACACTGGTTCACCCCTGGCGTGGCACTCTCGGTTGAGCTGCATCTGAGCTTTCTGGTCATTATCAGACAGAATGACTCAATGGCATGTCCCCTTGTCTAAGGCTTCCCATAACTTTTCAACCTCGTTCCTACCACCTACTTTACTTGGATTGCGCTGTGACAATCATACCAGTGCTAGGCATGTATGAGTGTCATAGGCATATTTTGCCCTGTCTAGAGGAAAAGAGTAAGGTGCTAGTCACCAGCGCTATTCAGCTCCCAAGCTATCCGCTTTGGAACCACTTTTCTCCCATAGCGCGCTACCCGGTCCGACGCCTAGGTATTCCATCCTCCCATGTCCTGCCTTCGTAGGCCTTCACTTTCTTCGTGATCTCACAGTGTTGAGACAGAAAGTGGGAAAACTCCTGACTTCAAATTCCTACGTTCCCACACGGTTTGGGAAAAGAATGAAAGGGGAAAAACTTAATATATTATGTGAGAATGGAGTCCTTATATACATTTTAGAAACCATCCTTACTAAGCAATGAGTCATCACTGGATTGGTAAGATTATGCTTACAAACCAAGCCTTTTGGTGTGCTGAATCAGCTGCTTACTAAAGTACATGAGTAAAATATTACAAAGCACTGTAAAATATTGCAAAGCACTGTAAAATATTACAAAGCATGACGAATCATGACAAAACATGATGAGTCATGGAAAGTCCTTACAAATCAGAATATTACCAGTCACATGACATGCTTACAAACATATCTGAATGGCTCACTGATGTAATCAAGTGGCTGAATAAACATAAACAAATAATGGAAAGAGACAGAAACTAATGGAAACTACAAATACAACTAAATAAATAGAAACAAAGCTTACATAAGTGAGAAGTATATCCTTTGTACACTCCTCTACTCATCTCCTTTTATACTGCTATTCGTATATGTCATGGTATGAACTCCATACCATGCATGACATCGCTACTATTCTCGCCTACGCTTTCCTGAACTTTTACGCAGTATGATAAAATGACCCGTCACACATACAGTACAGTACTTCCCTTCCCCGGACCTTTGCTGGTGTCGGAATCACTTTAGTCGCTATATCCTAGTCTTGGTGCAATCGATTCCGCTCTTGCCAATCTCTCTGATCATGTGTCGCTTGACTTGTTTTAAGTGCGCGTCACTAAAGTTCCCTCTTAAGTTTGACTTTCGCAACGTCGGGATCACTGTCGGTAGTCGAGCTATAATCTAGTCGCTATCAGGCATTTCACTTGCACTGTCTTACCTTACTCCTCGCTTTCGCTTCCTTTGATTTCTTCTCGCTGTTGCTAGTCAGACGTCACATAGTGCTATCACATAAAACAACTTGGATAGCGCTTCGCACTTATACGCACGTTTCTCTGTCAGAACTCCCTTGTCGCTAGTCACTGATCGCTACAGTGCTACTCATCAGTTGTTTTGGGTCTTAGGTCGCTATAGGTTATTAGTCCTTCGCGCTATCACTACCCTTGCATATTAGAAGGGAGTTGCTTCAATAGCAGTCCTCTTGGGTTGAATACTACACTCGCGCCTATTTGGATAAGTAGCGCTAGTTTCTAACCAGCCTAGTCGCAATTTCTCTTTCACAACTGGAGCCCACCACGAGGGGGCCATTTGAAGATGGAAGGCACACCGCCTAGACCTACCAAGACCTGAAAACCTCGCGACCTTAGTGACATTTCACAAGAAGATTTTTTTCTACTCAGTAATAGATTCCACCAATGAAGAAGTCGAGCACGCTGCATTCAACTCGCGATCCCGCTCATCTTCCAAGGCTACTGTTATCCGCCATCTTACCCCCGACTTTTAAAGAAGAGGAAGAACCCCTTGGACAATTAACTTCACATTACCTTCCGCTCCCTCGAGTTCCATTCGTTACTGTAGACACTCCCTCCACCGCATCATCACTCACCCCCTCTACTCCGTCTCGCGATGAGTCACCTGAAAGGCAGAACCTTTTCATACCCGCCTCCTTCATACCTAGCTCTATCCTGTCTCCACGAAAGCGACCAAGCACTCTCCTGCCATCCATACCCGACCCCGTTATTCATACCGCATCTTCCTCGACAGCACCATTTACTACCGCCCTTCCTCCAGTCGTACAACCTGCTCTTTGTACTCAACCCACTCAACCTGTCCAACCCGCTGTGAAAAACACAACCTGACTAGGCACTTGTTAAGGTACTCAGCCAGTATATGTCTAATGCTCTGCCTATGCTGCTATACTTGCAACAAAGATGCAAGAACATTTGACCCGAGGGAAAAGCTACTAAGAACAACTCAAGATCAAAAGACCCGAAAGAGCGCTAAAGCGCGGGAATAGCGCATCGCAAGATAGAGCGCTAATGCGCGGGAAAGAGCGGAAGTCAAGAAAGTGGACACTGAGTCAAAGGAAGGTAATGGATAGCGAGACACATATTGCAGTAACATATCTCCGTATTATATGAGTGGACGGACGTGCATAATATCCCGTATGATACGGGCCAGCGGACCATGGGCCGAGGGTAGATATATCCTCGACTGTGACGGATGGGCCGGGAGTGTTATTATTCCCGATGGAGACGGGTGGGCCCAGGTGGGGAATATGTAAAGTAGATGGGTGGGCCGATGGACATGAATTTTCAATAGACGGATCGGCCGAGGTAGTTGGATATTATGTAGATGGGTGTACCAAGGTAGATATGTATCAAATAGCCGGGTATATCAAGGGTGCTTGTTATCACATAGACAGGTGGGCCCAGATATATATCATATTAGACGGGTGGGCCGACGAATTAATATTATTTTGTAGACGGGTGGGCCGAGGGAGTGGTAAAAGATGTATTATATACAGGTGGGCCGATGGGAGACATATATTGCATAGATGGGTAGGCCGACGTGGGGGTATATAAGATAGACGGGTGGGCCCAGGAGAATGATAATTGTAGACATGATGGAGCTCAGCTAGTTGTATATCATCCAAATCAAAGGAGGTGATTATTCAAAGTCATCTAATGATGTGGTATGGCACGGAGCTTTGCAAAGGGGTGAAGTGGAAACTCGAGCGAAGTGTACCGAGTTCCAAGACCCGGGTCTCGACAAACAAATATGTGATGTCCAGCACACTTCCGATCATCTGGTATCTCATTGAGCAATGGATGATAATAGATATTTGAAAGCCAACATCATCCAAGCCTACCAAATGCCAAATGCCAAGTTCCGACCACTGAAAATTGAGTGAAGTGTACCAATATCTGAGCCCCAACTATCGAATCCCGAAAATCGACCATCGAGTCCCGACTACTGAGTCATGAAACCCGACGCCTGACCATTGAATCCCGACAATCGAGTATCGAGTCCCGACCAACGAGTCCCGTATATCGAGTCCCGACCATCGAGACCCGAGACCCGACGCCCGAGACCCGAGACCCGAGATTCGAGACAAGTTCCAACTATGGTGTCCTGGGTATCAAAATCGAGTGAAGTGTACCGAGATCCGAGGCCTGGGTCTCGACAAACGAGTATCTGACATCCAACAGACTTCCAATCATGTGGTATTTCATTGAGCAATAGATGATAAGAGAAATAGATCTTTGAAAGCTCAGATCATCCAAGGCTCCCTTATCTGATCCTCTCAATCTCCACCCCCTTTAACACCAAAGTGCGGACATTCAGGATTCAGCTTCTGATCTCACAAGATCAATTCAATCATGGATGTTTCTTCCACTTCTGATGATGAAATAACCCTCTTGCGCACTTGGGCCCTGACTGTCACTCATGTGGCATGTGATTATATGGAACAGAAATTCAATGCAGAGAAGACAGGAGGAGACCCAGTTATACCTTCTCCAAACCTAGACACTGATCTGGTGATGGCTTGTGATCGAATTGGTTGATGGCTCATAAAGGCATATAAAAATCCCAGTGAGTCTTCCTGCAGATTCGGAAAATTCGTTTTATCAGTCAAATTGCTTCATCACAGTTCAGATGCCGATTGATATTGCAAGATATAGCAAATTGATCTCCCCAAAGGACACGGGGCGTAATGAAGAGAGAGAGGAAAAGTTGCTTGAGAGGTGTCCTCCTGGCCATGAGGGCACAAAGTTGATCGACATACCCGCGACAATTCTTGATGCATCCGGTGCCATCATCGCATGGTACCTCCCAGACGCCTTGACCGATGCCACCCAGGTGTGTTATATATATTGTGACTGGATGGATATTGAACATCAAATGGTACGTACAGAATGAAATTTGGGCGGCCTCGGATTTGCTAGCTCCCATGCTCGAACAAAGCATAAAGCTCGATGGGATTTAGCGGACTAATCAACAGTGGTTCACACCAAGCTCGGAAAATGATGTCCTAACTCCCTGGATGCGTTAATTTATCTCCGGCATGGTTTCAGCAGGGGCACGAGGTAGGATCTGATGAGATGGCGATCTCGGTAGTTAAACTCACCAATCCCATAGAATCAGTCCGATCCGGAGGTATCTGCATCATTGAAGGGACCATCCTCCGAGAACATCCTCAAAGCCATTGCGAAGGCCAGCAGCCATTGCCACAGCGGCACTCAGGGTGATGCATCCTGAGCAGTACTGGGCAGGGTTGCAAGCCTTTGCGAGCCTCGGAGAAAAGGCACGAAGCAAGGAACTGCCGAAGATGTCAGAGACTCTCCAGTACTGGGCAACGGTGTTTAACAGCCTCACCATCATATGCAATCAGGAAACCCCGAATCATCGAGACCCCTCATCGATTTCCGAATGCTTCGATATTCTCACTAGCGTGGGGAATTATTCTAATGCTCGGATGAGTATGCCAAGCCTGCAGCTGGAGTTAAGGTACGATCCGGGGTGCATGATTGCATTTTCGGGAAGGATTGTCAGACACGCGGTTCATGCAGTGGAAGGGGATCGAATTGCCTGGGCATGGTATATGAGGGATGCTGTTCATGTTTATGCTGGGATTCCGTCGTGTGGATGGGCAAGGTTGGATTGGAAGAAGTAGAAAGGTAGTTACCCGTTTTAGTACCCACCTTCAAATACATGATACTAGATGTCAGGCACTCCATACTCAACATTCGGGTTTCGGGTCTTGATAGTCGGGACTCGATATTCGATTTCACCGACTACTGAGTACCGGGTTTCGGGTTTCGGTACACGGTACCCGGTACTTGATAGTCGGGACTCGATATTCGATTTCACCGACTACCGAGTACCGGGTTTCGGGTTTCGGTACACGGTACCCGGTACTTGATAGTCGGTGAAATCGAATATCGAGTCCCGACTATCAAGTACCGGGTTTCGGGGTTCGGTACACGGTACCTGGTACTCGGTGATTCAAGAAAACAACTCCCAAAATTGATGAGTGTCATGTTTTGAGTGTCGAATCTCGGGCTTCGGGCTTCGTGTTTCGGGTCTTGATAATAGGGACTCGATACTCGATGGTCGGCACTCACATCTCGGGCTTCAGGAGTTGATTGTTGGGACTCGGGTTTCAAGACTCGGTAGTTGGGACTCGATAGTGCGGATTCGGGTTTCAAGACTCGGTACCCGGTACTCGGGTTTCGGTACTCGGTGATTCAAGAAAGTGTCGTGGTGTTTGGAGTTTTGATTTGTTTCGTGTCGAATCTCGGGCTTCGGGCTGCTTGGGTTTTGGGTCTCGATATTGGGGACTCGATACTCGATGGTCGGCACTCAAATCTCGGGCTTCAGGAGTTGATTGTCAGGACTCGGGTTTCAAGACTCGATTGTCGGGACTCGATGGTTGGGACTCGATGGTTGGGACTCGATAGTCAGGCTGTGGGACTCGATTGTCAGGACTCGGTGGGGACTCAAAACTCGCAACTCATAGCAATGTTCGAGTTTCAAGTCTCGTCTCGAATCTTGGGCTTCGGGACTGGATATCCGGGACTCTATGTTTGGGACTCAATATTTGGAACTCAAGATATCTGGATCTCGATGCTCAATATTTGGTATGCAGGACTCAGCATATAGCAATAGGTCAGATATTCGAAAGTCAGTATGTAATTTTCAGTACTTATTTCATCATGTACAGAATTTAGACTTCAACATTCTGAACTGAAGGACTAGAACTACTCTGGTCCCCTTGGGTTCAATTTGGTTAGGACGGCGGTGTACATCTGAATCTCTGCCATCTTTTCACGGATGCCAGCTTGTTGATCCTCAATCACTGTCAGGAGACGTTCCCTCATCCACCTCAGTGCCTTCAGCGTTGCAAGCGAGCTTTCATCCACCTGCTCGGGAACAACAAGACGTTCGTCCTCAACGCCAGACTAGAAAGGATTAGTCATCACTCAAGGAAATTCTGTAAAAGTCTTACTAGCCAATGCTGGTAGTGACAGACACAATTAGCGAATACCTGATCCCATGGCCATAATTCGTTCGGGATGGCAGTTGATCCGGTCCACCATGGAGTACCATAGGTGGATACAATGCGGGAGGGATCCCCCAGATCTGCAACGTCTTGAAACTGGCATAGGTGGGATGAAAAGATGTGGTCCGGAACCATGTTCCAGGTGAGCTCGGGAATCAACTGAAGAATATGAGCAACCGGGCTCGGAACAACCGAAATGATGTTCCTTGCAGCTGAGTACTGCAGGATGGGAGTCACAAAAGTCTGTTGGAAATGTCAGCATTGACCACCACAGTCATCAGCCTCTTACAGCTATCTCCCATTGCAGCCCGGCTTTAAAGTGCGTGATCCGAGTAGCAGATGGCTCCTGGGTGTGGGCAGCCTCCATCTGATATTGAGAGATGGATGCTCGGATGCGAGATGCAGCCATTGACATTGTAGCTGCAATATCTGCCTGAGTGAGTGTGAGGGGTCGGAACCCATTGCTGGAAGTCTGAGAATTAGAAGGGGATGTTGGGGGAGTATGCAATACAGACATGGTTAATGCAGGATTATGAAGCTGGAAATGACAATGACAATGGCAGTTGGTTCGGAGGTCAAGATATGAGCCACTGGTTGATTGATAAAAATTTTCAAACTCCGACATGGGTCGACCCGGCCAATTCCCGGGACTAAAATGTTTGGGTCAAAGTAGCTGTTTCATATCGTTGGCAAAAAAATTTCATTCATCTTGAGCATCTATAAACCCGGTCTTCAGGTCTTGAAATGCTGCCTGGGCATCCTGTGCCAGCAATGAATACATTTGGGATTGCCTTCCTGAGTAGCATGCATGACCCGGAAGGTGTGTCACCAATGATTCCGCATCCTGTCACCCCATTGGGTTGCTTTCCACAAGAAAAAGTTACATGTCCAATCCATCTCCAATTGGACCAACATCATTTCTTCCTTCCATCGATCCCGTAGTGCCTTTGCCCGGAGCCAATGAACTCGGTAAACTTCGGATGACTCCGTCAGCTGAGCGCGGGACACATCAAGCATGCCCGAACTCACATTCCTCATTCCACGAGTGATCGGGACCCCCAAGGTCGACTTCGACTGACCAGAACCAAGCGAGGGACTCGTTTCGCTGACCTCGGGCATTTGGATCGCCGACGGCAGTGCTGATTTTGAGTTGCTCTCGAAGCAGGGGTTTGTATTTCTGAACCTGGTCTTGCCCTGGCTCCAGTTGCATCATTTGCTTCCTCGTCTTCGTATATATACTGGCATGGAGGGACACTGCCTGCTGCACCGACGTCACCTGGGACCAAGCTCGAGTTTTCAGGGCCTGGGATTTGGCTTGCCTAACTGTTGTTCGAAACAGAATCGCCTTGTTGCACAAGTGAATTCGGAGGTTGTGAAGGGAGTCATTGGCCTGCCCTTCACGAAGAGACATCTCCAGCGGAATGAGATCGTCTGCCATACAGCGTCTGCATCGATCTACCCCGAGGTTTTGATGGCAATGGGATTACAGTGAGCTCAGGGGAGTTTGCCCATGTGTCAGATGTCTCGGTGAAGTCTGCCAAGTCATCATTGAGATCATCAAGAATGTCCAAGTACAAGTCTTCAGGATCTTCATCTGCATCAAATCCCTCTCCGAGATGCGTAATAGCAGACCGAGTGAATCCATCTATCTGGCCTTGGAGACGATCGCGTTGCCGGGCGATGTCTAACTTCTGTGTCTCGGTAGTTCTTCTACCAATTCTTCGGACCTCGATGAGCAATGCGATTTGAGCCTCTTCAATCGCCAACCCCATTGATATCCATGTCGCCACAGACCTGCGAGCAGGTGCTGCATTTCGGGCATTACCCTCCTCTAGTAGCCTAAGCTCGATCTCCTTTTTGCTCGGTGCTGAATGCAAAATTAATTCAGACTTTGATGGAGACAAAGTCAACTAACCCTTCTTGATATTAATCTCATATACATCCATAGCCGCAGGATTATTTATTCTGCTGGACTGAGCGATCCTCTCGCTGGCTAGCCACTCTGTCTTTGAATCGCCGGGTGCTGCTTCATTGAGTATGTCGAAAGCCTTTTCACTTTCGGCAATGCCATTCTTCGCCTGCTTGTATTTTCGGCAAAGGGTCCTTTTCATGCGGATCATCTTGCAGAAATTGGAATCATTCATCTGATAATCGAGACATTCCTTTCGAATGTGGGGATGACATTCCCTGAGCAGCAGGGAAATCAGGTTGAGACAGTGACCATAGGGTCTCCATGATCTCTCCATCAATCCGACCGATGCCTTCGATAAAATTCGACGCATATCGGACATAGCAGCTGTCCTGATGTCCGTGGATGTGGCCACAACCCGATTCCAGGAATGATGGTCAATTCTGGAACCATTTCGAGAAATCGGCTTCGATCCACCCAAACCCGAAAGTGCTTGTTGTATTGACAGTTGATATCATAGAAGGTGACCGCCCTGGTGATGCCTTCCATGTTGTGCCGGGCAGCCCTCAAAGGGCATAGTCCATGTTCATTTGTCTGCGAATGATGCATGGTTAACTCGTGAATATCGAATGGCTGGGTCGGCT